CTCACTTTCTTCACAACTTCTCCGTCTTTCTGCATTGAAGGGCTGTAATGTCTCTTTTTGTCCTTTGAGTAGGGGATGTTTACTTTTCCATACACTATCCACCGTTGCCTTAGTAACTTGGCACATCACTGTTGCTGGCAGCCTGTTTTCTAATCTCATGAAAACCTCTTCTTTGGAGGCTTATACACACCTTGCTGTAGTTTGTTATTGGTAAACTTTCACCAGATAGTTCCCTAGTATTCTTTAAGACCTTTGCCATCTATCAGATCACTTTACATCATCATACTGGAGAACTCACGCATTTCATTTTGACCATACAGTTCCTTCTTTTATCCTCTACCTTGGTGTATTTCTTTGGTTTTACTTTGAGCCTGGTCATTAGTTAACTGAATCTGCTCATTCTGAGATTTTCCATTCTAACTTCATGTTATTCAAACTTGTTCCCTTTTTTTAGCCAGGGTCTTGCTAAGTTGCCTAGGCTGGGCTTGAATTTTCAATCCTCCTACCTCAGTCTCCCAGAGTGGGGATTAAAGGAGTGCAGTACCACATCCAGCTTCAAACTTGTCTTTTAACTTCACTGAGACCACTTTTTGTCTTTTTACCCTTCTGTTTCTTCATCAAGTCAGTCTGGGCGCATTTCCTCAGCTAGTAAGTCCATACTTTTCTGCTTCCTGTTCTTTCATTGGAATTGCTTAGAAAATATCCTATTAAACCCTCATCCATCTTTGTCCCTCCACAATGAGCATCTTCTGTAGTAGTACAGAAAAGATCCTACTCCAGATTTAAGGTTTTCAGTTCAGCTAGGTCCTCAGTGTTGCTGAAGTAACTTCTGCTTTTCTTAGGTTAACACTTTCCCCATTTTCCTTGATAACTTTGCTAAATTGCTGAAACAGGGTTGAAACCTGTGATCCTCTGGCCTCAGACTACTGGGATGCAGATATGCAGCACTACACCAGGCTGACACATCAATATTTTAAGGACACAGAGAATACAAGTGAAGAAGCCAGAGAAGATCAGTAAAGGGAGACCACCAGAGAGGGAGAGAAAGGCCACGGAAAAATGGGCAGCCAAGGAAGACGAAAGTAACAGCCCACAGCACTACACACTGCAGAAAGACCGACGATGAAGTGTCCCTGAAATTTAGTTACTCGGTGGTTTTGGTGCTCTTGCTAGAAGAAGAGTGTCAGTAGAAAAAGAAGAGAAGGGATTGAAAAGAGCTGAAAAAATATGATAGTGAATATATGAGGTCCGAAGAAGCCCCATGAAAGAAAGCATGACCATGGAACTGACCATGGAAACAGCAACTTAGAACCTGTCTCAAAAAATAAAAGCGCTGGGGATGTAACACAGTACAAAGGCCCTGGGTTCGATCACTAATCACACACACACACACACCATTTGTTCTTCACTGTTTTTTTTTTAGTTACTATGTTCTCCCTTTCTAAAATGTACAGTTCAGTGGACCTTAAAGTACTGTACATTCAGTACCTACATATCATATGGCCATCACCAGTCATGGTTGGTGTCTAGATGTCCCCCCAAAGCCTCATGCAGTCATGGGGTGCACTTCTAGAGTTTTCGATTGATCTGTGGTCCAGTACTGGGGTTATGAGTGTGAGTGCTACACCTGCCCTGGGGCAGGAAGCTTGCATACAGTGTAAGGGAGGGAAAGAGGCTTGCTCTCCATCGTTGCTCCTCCCTTTTTGCTCTTGCTGTTTTTGCTGTTTGTTTGTTTGTTTGGGGTTTTTTTGTTGTTGTTGTTGTTTTTCCGGACCGGGAGTTGAACTCACGACCTCGTGCTTGCCAGGCAGGTGCTGCGCCGCTGAGCTAAATCCCCAGCCCCCTGTTTTTGCTGTTTCCTGATGCCATAAACTGTTGCCCTCTGCCATGTGCCACCCTGCCTTCAATCTAACTGAGAATGGACTGAATAACCGTGAGCTAAATAAACCTTTCCTTCCTTAATTCTGGGTGTCAGGTATTTTGTTTCAGCAGTGAGAGAAAAGTAACCAAGATAACCACTGTCTAATTCCAGAACATTTCATCACCCCCAAAAGAAATCCCATATACACTGCAGTCTCGCTATAGATTTACCTATTTTGGATGAGTTTGAGAAATAAAATCGTGTAATCTTGGGCCTTTTGTGTTTGTCTTCTGTTTTGTATAGTGTTTTCAAGATTCATCCCTGTTGTAGGATGTATTGTTTTTATGGCCAAATAGTCCCATTTTATACATTTTGTTTAATGTTTTATCAATTGATGAAAATGTTTTTTAACTTTTTAAAGTGTAGGCTTGTATGTATGTGTGTGTTTTCAAGTTGTGGAATATGATGGTTCAGTCAGTTCACTCATGAAATTTTTAGTGCTTGTACCTTTATTTGGGGTTTATAGACTAACTCATTTATTGTGTTTGGGACTGAGGCTTCAAAGATAAGCCATGTTCTCAGGAACTTTTTTTTATTTCTCTTCCCTACATTAATCTTTTCAATTATGAAATACAGTGCATTTATAAAAGTACATAAAACAAATACATGATTTTTTTAAAATGTGTACTGGAAAGTGAAGCTCTGCCTAAGCATATCTAGTCAAAGCATAGACTACAGTTACTGTTTCAGTCTATCTGGTATGTCCCTTGGGGCACAACCCCCTCCGTTTGCCTCCGTTTGCCTCCACCGCCCCCCCTCCAGTACTCCTAATACTGACCACTCTCCAAACTTTTAAGTCCATCATTCTCTTTGGGTTTTTTATTTGTTTTTGTTTTTGTTTTTTTAATTTTAAAAAACTAGCTAAATATCCCTAGATAGAACCCTATCTGTTTTTGACCTTTATATAAATGGTAAGATACAATAGCTGTGTGTTTATCTTTGATTAATTTTGTCCATGGTCTATCCCTGTTTTTGCTACAGCTGAAGTTCATTCATTGTTCTTGTCATGTAGTATTTAGTAATCTGAACATACTGTAATATGTTTACCCATTCCACTGGTGGTGAACATTTCAGTTGCTTTCAGTTTTTAGCTTTTGAGAATAGGGATGTTGGGGATGGGAATGAGGAAAAACAAGAGGAATCAAAATATATCATGTGCAGATACAGATTCCCTATAATGAATGTGGTCATCATGTATACTTAAATTGTACCGATAAACTTAAATTTTTAAATATGGGGCTGCTATGAACAGTTTCTGTTACAGTAAACTTTTTGGGAGTAGAATTGCTGGGGTCAACTTCATTTTTACTTGATTTTGTCTAAAAAGGAAAACATACACACACATATATAGGTATATAGATTTATGGTTTTCTAAGGTAATTTTACCAATTTTTATTCACACCAATACTGTGACTTTCCATCATGCTTGACTGTTTATCACTTTTTAGTGTATGTGCTGCCGAAACGAGCACTGTTTATCGCTTTTAAAAAAAGAACTAGTCAGTGGACTGGGGATATAGTTCAGCGGTGCAGCGCCTGCCAGCCTGGCAAGCAGGAGGTCATGAGTTTGATTCCTGGTACCAAAATAAATAAATAAATAAATGATAAAATGTGTTAGTGTCTTGTAAGTTTTTTGCTGTTATTTAAAATGTAAAGTCTTCTGTTCTCACATTTCCATATTAAAGAACTATTTTAAAATATGAGTTAATCTGATTATCTCATCTAGGTTCATGCCATAAAATCAGTTTATATTTTCATTCTCTTAAATGTACGGACTTGTGCTTATTGAGTTTATTTTTATATTCATAGGGGATGACTATATTTTAAGTATCCTAAGTGATAGTTGTCATTTTTAAAATATGCTCTTTTGTGAGTAGGGAAGAAACTGATCAAAATAAAAAGAAAAACTTATGGGAGAAAGGGGAAAGGAAGGAAGGGTAAAGGAAAAATGCATACATACATAAGACAGTTAAGATACAGCTGGTTTCTCTTGGTTCGTTGAGGGGAAGGTGGTTGTGCTAGAAATTTTCTGGACAATGTTTCATGCCTATATTTTGTACTCTGAACAACCATTGTGAATATAACAGTATGCAATGTGTTGATTATTGCTACTCTCCTGCTAACCTGTTTTGAAGCTGTTTTATTGTTTTTTTTTATTTTAAAGATAAAATAATGAAAACATTAACAAGCACACATACATTTGCAAAATAACACAAAAAGAATACAAGCAATACAGAATTTCAGACAAGGTGATAGGAAATTAGCAATGGTTATTGTATTAAATATTGATACCTTCAAATTGGTTATGCAGGTAAACAAATATAGACATGTAAGATTGATCAAGCAATTCAACATTAACTGTTCCTTTCAATAAAGCAATAGAAGCCAGTAGTACAACTATGTTAGCTATCCTGTGTATACATATATACATAATTTTCCCCTTCTTGCTTTTCTCTTTTCCTCATCCCAGTTGTTCTTTATTTTTGAGCAATAAAACTGTTTTATTATTTCTTGCTTTTTTTTGTTAAAAATACTTTTGTTTTTACTTTTATTTTGTCTTTAACCTGATATGTCATAGCTGTGTAAATTTCTATTCCAAAACAGTGATTTTTATTATTATTATTTTTTAAGACAAGGTCTCACTGTGTAGTTTAGTCTGGCTTTGAACTCTCTATGTAACCTAGGCTGGCCTTGAACTTGCAGCAATCCTCCTGTTTCAGCCTTCCAAGTGCTGGGGTTATAGGCATGAGCCACCACACCTGGCTTTTTTTTTTTTTTTTTTTTTTTTTGGAGACAGGGTCTCTCTATGTAGTTCAGATTGGCCTTGTACTCACTGTGTAGTACAGGCAGGTTTAAATTTGTGGCAATCCTCTTGCCTCAGCCTCCTGAGTGCTGGGATTATAGGCATGTGCCTCCCAGCCCAGCTTTAAATAGTGATAGTGTATTTTAAAAGTTCTGCTATCTGCTGTTTATTAATAATATAACTTCTGGCTTGGTTATAGAAGTTTTATTTCTAAGAATATTTGTGGAATGTTTAGTAAAGTTAACTAATGGATCTTTTTCTTTCTTCTTCTTCAAGTTGGCCTTTGTCAGAGTTTGATCCAGGCCAGATTCGACTAATTGTATATCAAGACTGTGAAAGACGAGGGAGAAATGTCTTGTTTGACTCCAGTGTTAAGAGAAAAAATGAGGATACATCAGTATCGGTAAGCAGCATTGTTGAGTTTTTAAAAAATTAGTGTTGGCCATTTTAATAATTAATAGAATTTCAGTTGTATTTTTATGAGTGTAAAATATAAAGCATCTTTAAAATTTATAGTCCTGAGTTTGAGATTAAAAAAAAAATACTTGCTTTGTCTAGCCAGGCATTATTTTAGTTTGATATTTATTTCCTTATATGATTGTAAGATATAAGAATCTGGTCTAAACCTCTCATTTTGAATTTATGGAAAGTGAAACCTAGAGAAATTATTTGCCTAACGATACAGAGCAAATGAAGTCTCCAGCCTTTAGAGCATCATATTTTCTCCTTAAAGTGGAGGTAAGAACTTTGTGCTAATTTTCAGTGCCATATTTTGAAGTATGTTGTGAACAGCTTTGCAGTTGTTCATGTACGTTCATTTGAATGACCATGAAAACGTAGGTATGCTACTGCCAGTTTGCACACTCAGGCCCGCTCTATAATACAGGTGTAGTTTCTTTCAACACTTACGTAGCCAGATAATCTAAGTGATTTTATCACATTACTATCCTTAGGTATTTTTTGTCAGTGTTATTTCATGAGGTCCTAGTGAAGTACTGTGATCATTCACATATTTCAACCATTATTGAGTATACATAAGGATAAAGTTTTATAATTCATATAACTTTTTGGAAAAATGGTTACAGATTTTTAGCTATGAGTGTTTTATATTCTGAAGTATTACAGTAGTCCTCCCTTATGGTTTCAGTTATTCTCAGTCAACAAAAAGTAGTACAGTACAATAAGATACTAGGCAGTAGGATACTAGGCATATTCTACATGGAAGAATTTTTTTAACTGAAAAATGCTATATAAGTACTGCTTATTTAGTTGAATTTCATTTGTGATATAGAATCTGGAACATGAAATACAGTTATGTGTCTGAATTAAAAATTTTCATCCTTTATGCCTACCTTTCACCCTTCTCTTCCTTCTTAACAGTTCAGTCCTAAAACCATGAGGTATGGCTGAGTACAGATACTAGATGGTAAAGGCACAGTGGCCCGTAGCTGGGTGTCAGAGCCCAGTGAAGAAGGGTGACCTGAGTTTCAGCACCCAGGTGGGATGAGGACAGCATTCACCCTGGGTGTCTTAGCCTGAGAAGAATGCACTTGCAGGGGAGGAGTGACAGGGCAAGTGGAAGACCGCTTATACCCATGGAGGTTGGGCATCTACATATATGTTAACAGTGGGAAGCATGCATTTCAGAGAAGGGAGTTACAAATAAGGAAAGGAAGACAATTACAAGAGCTATGTGGTGGTGCTAGATTAGAATTGGAAATTTAAGTGTGAACTTTTGTATATATCTATGCACAAATGCATATTACTAACCCAATAAATATAGATATATGTATGTGTATGCAGATATGTATACTATCTTGCCCTGTCTATCAAGAGGCCTTGGGAATAATGAGATCCCAATATAAGGTACATACCTAACAATGAAATCATTCTTTCATAAATTCTATTCTTTACTAAAAGGAACCAATTTTTCTTGGAGAAATGACTTATACCTGGCCCAAATAGGAAAAAATAAAGATAAACCTGGAACTTCTTGTACTGAAAGCTTAATTGGTGGTGGGAACATGTCAAAAAGAGACAGAACCCAAATTCAAGGGGCTTTTGCTAGCCAAATTGGGGGAGACTTTAGCAAAAAAACAGATAATGATATTAGCAGAACATACTTCATTGAATAAAAGCATGAGTCCGTACTTAAATGCATAAATTGAAAGTTTAATAAGAAATAGCATGTAAAGTGGTAACTTGGGTCATGAACACTTTGGTTTGCAAACAGCTTGGTTTGCAAACAGAAGCATTTGGCAAAATTTTGTTTTTGTTTGTAAACTCTGTATCAGGTGACAAACACAACCATGGCTATCTTCCCCACACAAACACAGATGTGACCATCTTTTCCAAAATTGTAAACAAATTTAAGTACATGAACAGAGACACCACTGAGTGTATGTAGTATATATAAAGTATATATTTTTTATATATAAACGTATAAACTATATATTTTGTAGTATATATAAAGTATATATTTTTTATATATAAACGTATAAACTATATATTTTGTATGTATATACACATATGTATGGTTTCATAATCTCTTAATCCCTCAGCAAATTATTAATTATAAAAAAGACAATTTCTTTACAGTGGAGATGCTTGGTAAATAAATCCTAAATTAAACGAGCATCAGTAACAAGAACCAGAGTCATGCTACATCATAGGATTCAGGAAGGACATAGTGTCACTTCTGTGATACTACTCCTCAGAATATGTAACCTAAATCTTACCACAAGGAAACATGAAACAATTCAGAATGCAAAACGACTATCCTGAAATCTTCAAAAGTATTAAGTTCATCACAGTCAGAGAGACTGAGAAACTTTGCAACAGGATGGAATCCAAAGAGAAATAACAAATACGCAAATACAAAAGAAGAATCTGAACTGAATCCTTTTACTCTCCATGACATTACTTGGACAACTGGTCAAATTTCATTGGAGCCTGAGGAATAGATGGTTATAATGATTATTTCCTGAATTTTTGGTTGTACTGTAGAAATGTACTGTCCCTATTTTTAGGAAATACACATATTCATAGGTGATGGAATATCAATTAGGCAACTTTTCTCATTTGGTTGAGGAGAAAAGTACTTTGTAATGAACTTGCAACGTGGTTCTGTTTGAGAATGTAAAAAGAACTAATAAAAATAGTAGTCTAGTTATAAAAAGCCAGACTCATTTTTTAAGTAATGTTTATAACAGTTTTTATGCATAAATAGATGATATTATTTGGTTTTATGGTTTAGTATAAAGTATGTCATCACTTCCTTTAAAAATGAAAGTAAGAAATATTAAGGAAGCCAAGCCCTTTTTTCCTGTAGTTTCTTCTCATAGAAGACTGGTGCCTGATAAGGCTTGCTGACTGTCGCTTGTTAGATCGCTAGAGCATGATATTCCACTGCAGTTGTTACTGTTTGGTTTCAGAAAAGCCATGACTTTTTTTTTTTTTTTTGGTCTTTTTGAGACAGGGTGTTGCTGTGCAGCTCAGGCTGGCCTTGAGCTCACTTTGTAGCCCAGGCTGGTCTCAAACTCAGCAACGATCCTCCTGCCTCAGCCTCCCAAGTGCTGGGATTACAGGTGTGCGCCACCATACCCGGCCAGCCATAACTTCTAAATGGGAGAGGGCAAATAAACTGAACAGCTAGAGAGCTGGTAGGAGAAAAGTGTGTTTGGTCTGCTTGTATATATTATGCATGATTTTATGCTCTAGTTCTGAAATTAAAGTATATTTGTCCCTTTTTTCCCCTGTAATAAACTGCTTTTTGGATTCAGAGATTGGATGTATATAGTTCTCTAAGCCTGGAGTTTCTTTCTAGCCAGGCCTCCTACTCTTCTTTCAGCTTAACACCTATGCTTGTTTCTTAGCCCTAGCTTATCACTTCCTTCATCTCTCTAGACTGAGTCTTCTTTTGAAGGACAGTTGACTTAGCATCATTGTTCTTTACTGTTTATCTGTAAATGGGAATAATAATAATAGTATGATTCTGTATTACCTATATTTACTCTTTAAAGAGCACATTTTACAGAGTTTAAGTAGGTATGGTGCCAAATGCCCGTAGGCTTCTTCAGAGACTGAGAATCTTAGCTTCTTCAGAGACTAAGGCAGGCAGACTGCAAGTTTGAGTCCAGCCTATCTCAAAAGCGGGGGTGCAGGGGTGCCTGGCTGGGGATGTGGCTTAGTGGTAGAGGGCTCTCTTAGCATGCAAAATAACATAACAAAATAGTACCCGACCCAGACAGTAAATACATGTGTTAGCTGTTCCTACCGCTTGTTTTAATAGACATTTTAAGTATCTATTCATTATAACTTACATAATTATTTGTTAGGTATTTCTTTTCCATGATAGGCTGTTAGTGTTGTGAGGAAAAGGATTATCTTTTTTTTTTTTTTTTTTATTCACCTATATTCTCTAGGGCTTGGTACACATAATACAGTATTTAAATACCTTTGTTAACTAATGAAACAGTTGTTTGTAATAGTGGAGACAGGCAAGCTAACTGGGTTTTGGCTGTCAATAGACTTGGTGATGTTATTTAACTTCGTGGTCTTTAGGTTTCTCACATACAGAAAAGTTAATAGCATTGTTCATGCTGAATACTAGAGAAAGTGTAAATAAATACTTATCATTTTGTTGGTGATTAGCAAGTAGTAAAGTTACTAAGATGTGGCCAACGATACCAATACTAAAAATGATAATATTTTTAGTGAGTGTTTAAATGAAATAATATAAATGGAAATACCATTAGTTGTGTTAGTTCTCCTATCTTAATGTTTTTCCAAATTAGAACTATGTATCAGTAGTGTATGCTAGTTTCTTAGAGTATTAGAAATGATAGTAGTATGTATTTTGTTTTTATATATGTATATATACATACATATTTTTCCCTTGTCATTAGGTACGGTTCTATTTCCCATTAAACAGAGAAAATTTAGATTTAGAAAGATCAAGTAACTTGCTCACAGACTCAGGTTTTGAATTCATGTCTAGTTCTAAACACCTCATTTTTTTTTTTACTTTACATTTTTCATTAGAAATGATTTTGCAGTTGTTAAATATCCTCCCCGCCCCCTCCTGGTATTGGGGATTGAACCCAGGGTCTTTGCATGAGCTACATGTCCACCCCTTTTTAGTTTTTTGAGACAAGAGTCTCATTAAGCCTCTTAAATTACCCAACCTAGGCTCAAGCTTATGATCCTTCTGCCTCAGCCTCCCAAAGTGGTGGTATTACATAGTAGGTATAGGCTACCATACCTGGTTAACGTCCTTTTTTAGAATGCTTTTGGTGATAATAGCAACTATAAAACAATAAGCCTTCAAAATACTACAGTTTTAGTCATATTGTTCCTTTTTTTCTCTCTCTTTCTTTCTTTTTGTTTTTGGCTTTTCTGAGACAGGGTTTCGCTGTTGTAGTTCAGCCTTGACCTTGAGGCAGTCCTGCTTCAGCAAGAATGCTGGGATTACAGATGTTTGCCACCACACTCACCTTGAAATTGCTTTTTCTAAAACCCTATCTGAGGTCTTTTATATGGAATAACAAACATACCAGTAACTGATAAAGCACTGGAACAGTTTTTTAGTAGTATCACAGACCGTGGTGGGATGAACCTTCAGTAGCTGTAAGCAGTGAAAGCTCTGGAACTTGCTTAGAAAGAGAGAAAAAGAAATAACCTTCTCCCATAGTGAATAACAGTCTTCTGGTCTTAAATTCATCTCTCAGTATGAATTTTTGTGTTCATTACATGAATACATTCTTATTTCGGAAGATAAAACTTACATATAGTAAAATATATCTCATTTGCATTTCTCTTTCCACTCCTAAATTTGTCCCCAGCATATATATAATTTGTTTTTGGTAACAGTGTCATTTATGTTAACTTGTAATGGGTTTGTTGTTATGTTAAATTGAATTAATATTTTGAAACTACCTTAGGTTGTATTTATAATATGAGAAAATATTATTAGGTACAATTCAGGTAAACAGAACGCCTTCGGGATTTTCGTAATTTGTGAGAACATAGAGTGGTTTTATGACCAAATAATTTGAGAAATGCTAATATTGTTGTTTAGTTCCTATTATTGAACATTTGTAGAACATAAGAATCTTAGTGTTTTGACATTCTTAGTGAGAAAAGTGCAGTGGCATTTCCACATTTCCACAAATGTTATGAGTCAAAGGATAAAAAGTAGTACAAGAAAAAATATAGCAGATGGCACATGTATATCATATAAAGATTATATTGTTTTGAGTCATTTTATCCTTGGTTTTGCTAAATGCTTTTGTATTATTAAATTTTATTATGGTGAAAAATGATTGGAATATGAATAAGAATATCATATATTTCAGAAACTTTGCAGTGATGCTCAAGTTAAAGTTTTCGGGAAATGCTGCCAACTGAAGCCTGGAGGAGATAGTTCTTCCTCTCTGGATAGTTCTATCACTCTGTCTTCTGATGTAAAAGACCAGTGTCCCAAGTATCAGGTAAGATCACTGATTCCGTTTATTTACTCTTTCATTTATGAATATCTTTGATCACCAACCCTAGGAAGCAGGGTATGATAGTGACTAGTCCTAATCTCCCGGGTATAGGGACAGATTTTTAAACAAGTAAATTTATAAATGTTTAAAAATCTTAGAAATACAGATAGCTGTAGATAACAGCAATAGGGATATTTTCTCATGTTTCTCAATTCATATTATTGGGCTACCAGGATAAGTTCTTTCATATACCTTTTTATAATTGAAGTATGAAGATAAATAAATAATACCAGTTCACCTGTAGTGTGGAATTAACGTATAAATGGACCTATACACAATAAAAAATGCACATTATTATCTTCTAAAAGTATCATTACTCTTCTTTTAAAATACAGAATTAAACCAGTAGCTACATAGGGACTTATTTATAAACGTACTACATTTTACATAAGATCATTGTTTAGTTTCATGCTAAGCAGGTACAGTATCATCTGATGCAAATTTACTTTGCATCATCCAGACTTGCGTGAATCATAAGTATTTTATATTTAGTAGAATCAAAGTTAAATTGTGAACTTTTTAAATTCTTTGTAATCAGATGGTTGTGTTTTCTGCTAATTTATTCTTACACTTTTTACTAATAGGGAATATATGTGAAAGGGCAATGAAATTACTAAAATGTAGATGTTAGGAGGTACCACAGAGTTCCTTCTGCCTTTCTGTTTTTCTTTCACCTTACGCTTGATACTGTAGCGAATTTTAAATGCTGATGCCATGTAATACTTGCATAATTTGTATAATTTTGCACAATTTAGGAAGTTTTCTAACATGTTCTATTACGCAAACTTGCTTTTCTTCGATATATTATATAGTTAAATATTGGCAAACTGAACAAGATTGGAGATACTGAAGTACTGAGTGGTTATAATCTCATTTTGTATTTGTAAAAGCCAGAAAGCATTGAATTATTGTAGCATAGTTTGTTGTACTATGTACTGTCAGGTAACTAGAACACTATCTTTTAATTCCTGTTTATAACAGATTATTAGCTTCTAGCAATATGTAATAGTTGAAAAGAACAGACCTTTTAAATAGGACTTTAAAGAAGACAGCAATGATAATAGTACTTTCTTAACTGTATAGTTTTTAGTATAGATTATGTCACATTAATATATAATATGCCAGCGATATCATGGTATATGGTAGAGCAAGCAAAAAGAGAGCTTCAGTAGGAAATTATATGGTCACATGAAATGTACATAGCAGTTTATTTTTTACTATATTTTCTTTTCTGAGAATTACTTTCTTATACAGTAGTACAATCTAAAACTGCCTTGATACTGAAACTCATATAAAAAACAGCAGTTTTAGTCTAAATAGCAATGGAATTAGATCCATCATAGCAAAAGTGAACTTATAAAGGAAGACTTTCTTGTCTGTCATTAGCCAGAAGTAGTTTAGGTTGCAACAAGATTGGCACTGGTCTTCAAAACAAGACTAGTTGATCATTAAAAAAATTATTCTACCTTATTTCTAAAGTGTTCTCAAGTAGTACACACTAATACTCGGGAGTCTGAGGAAGGAGGATTGTAAGTTCAAGGTCAGCCTCAGCAATTTAGCAAGCCCCTGTCCCAAAATAAAACAGAAATTGGAAGGGGATGTATCTCAATGGTAAGGCATTTGCTTAGCATGCACAAGGCCTTTGGTTCAATCACCATTACTGCCAACCCCCCCGCCACAAAAAAAGTTCTCAGTACCTAAACCTGTATGCCTTGAAGTAGAAATTTAATCTCAACCAAACCCTTAGATAAGTTGCTTTCTACTAGAAACATGAATGTAACAAACTATTTTTTCCTTAAAATTTAACTTTGTGGCTTTATTAAAACAGTGAATACCTTCTGAGAAAGTGAAATTATATAAGTGAATATATATAGAATATTAAATAGTTACTTGTAATTTAAAAAAAAAATTAAGAAGGTGAAGCTGGTAGCACATGTCTCTAATCCCAAAGCATTTGGGAAGCTAAGGCCTCGGGCAGCTGGGAGGATCACCGTGAATTCAAGGCCAGCCTGGGCTACATAGTGAGTTTAAGGCCTGCCTAGAATACATAGTGAGACCCTGTCTCAAAAAAAAAAAAAAAGGAAGGTGATAAAAATGTAGATTTTTTTTTTTAAAACTAAAAGTAAGAGGAAGATTCCAGCCAGCAAGTAAAAACATCACACTACGAAAAGAAAGGGATCCTTGACACTATACTGTTATCATTAGAATTTTAAAATGTTTTAGAAGATTCATAATTCTTTTTTTCCTCCCTTCTGTTCTCCTTCTCTCTCTGTCTCCCTCTCCTTCCCCACCTCTCTCCCTTTCTTTTTTTGGTGGTACTGGGGATTGAACCCAGGGCCATTGCACTGGGCTAAATTACCAGTTCCCTTGCCCCCTGTGAGACAGGATCTTACTAAGTTATTACATTGCCCACTACCGGGGCTTAAATTTGTGCTCCTCCTGCCTCAGACTCCCATAGTGCTAAAATTACAGGTGTGTGCCACCATCCCCAGATAGAAGACTCCTGATTCTTGATTTTTCCAAAATGGAACAGCTTAGTGAAATTTGTGATCAATCTTTATTTTTTACCTTGAATAATTTAGGTCATCTTCATCATTGATTGCTTCATTATATATTTACATAAGCTGTGAATTACATGGGGATACTCTTAATAAAATTGCTTAAACAAATTACGGAGTATTTTTTCCTTGCATGACAAAAAGTCTGGAGATACATTATGTAGGTGGGCTTGAAGTTGCTCTTGGAGACCAAGGTTCCCATATCTTTGTACTTAGAGATAATGTTTTTTTTTTTTTTTTGGTTTTTCTCCGGTACCGGGAACCGAACTCACGACCTTGTGCTTGCCAGGCAGGCGCTTTTGCCGCTGAGCTAAATCCCCAGCCCCTGATAATGTATTTTTATCTCCTAATGGTCATAATAGGGCATCAGTATCTCTAGTGACTTCCATTGTGTCTCATTGACCAGTTCAGTTAAAATGCATAAATGAGTAGTGCTCAAAACTATTCTAACCATCAGTCCAACTTTACTGAAATCCTCTTTTCAAGTTGGGTTTCTGAAATGTGATTTTTTTTCAGTTGGACATGTTGAAACCCTTGAAACAAATTGGATTTCAAAAAAATTAAAGCATAGGTAGTAGATAACTAGTGATATTTGTCATGGTATATAAATAGTAATGAAAGTAATAAATTCAAATTTTCACTATTTTCTTATTCCTATGAGGACAATTAAAGAATCAAATGGAAACAAGAAACTTGCAATCAAGAGTTCTTTGAAATAAGACTATTCTAGTATTTCAAACTAGTCTTTTTTGAAGAAAAGTTGTGTTGTAAGCACTTAATATAAGATTTGCCCTCTTAAATTTTTATGTGTAATTTTTAACCATACTTTACAGATTTTTATAGTATATCTCTAGAGCTTATTCAGATTTGATTGAAATTTAACAGTCATCTATTAGTAAATGATTTCCCCCTCTCCTTAGCCCCTGATAATCACCATCCCATTCTTTGATTCTGTGAACTTGACTGGCTTATTTCATGTAGCATGCTTTCTTTAATATTCATCTATGTTATAGCCAGGCACGGTGGCGCATGCCTGTAATCCCAGCACTCTGGAGGCTGAGGCAGGAGGATCGTTGCAAGTTTGAAGCCATCCTGGGCTACAAAGTGAGCTCAAGGCCAGCCTGAACTGCATAGTGTGAGACCCTGTCTCAAAAAACCAAAACAAAACAAAACAAAACAAAAACCATACTGTTACTACTGCAAAATTTTTTTTCAGAGTGCATAGTCTATTGTGTGTATATACCACATTTTCTTTGTCCAGTCTGTTGGTGAACATTTCAATTTATTTACACATCTTGTTTGTTGTGAATAGGGTTAAAGAGAACATGAGAGTGGTAATAGTTGTTTGAGATCCTTTAAATTACAAAGTGGTCAAAACTATTCTAATCTATTCTAAAAAATCGCATTTCAGAAACCTAACTCGAAAAGAGGATTTCAGTAAAGTTGGACTGATGGTTAGAATAGTTTTGAGCACTGCTCATTTATGCATTTTAACTGGTCAGTGAGGCAAATGGATGTCACTAGAGATACTGATGCCCTATTATGACCAAGGGTTAAAATTCTTCTGGATAAATACCCAGAAATAGGATAGGTGGATCACATCACCATGTTTAATCCTTTGAGGAATTGCTGTATTGTTTTCCAGAGCAGCTATACCATCTTGCATTCCCACCATAAGGGTGTAAGAGTTCCAGTTTTCCTGTATCCCTGCCAATGCTTATTAAGGTTTTGTATTTCTTGTAATAGCCAACTTGATATGTGTGAGTTAATATCTCATTGTGATGTTGACTTATAATTCCCTGATAATTAGTGATATTGAGCATTTTTAAAATTTAACTGTTGGTTAATAGTATGTCTTGCTTGGAGAAATGTCTGTTAAAGTCCTCATCCTTTTCTTAAATTGGGTTATTTGTTTTTAACTATAGTGTGTGAATTGCTTGTATATTTTGGAGATTGACTTCTTACCAGATATTTATAAGTATTTTCTCTCATTCCATAGTTTGCATTCTCATGCTTTTGTTTCCTTTGCTGTGCAAAACTTTTTCTTTTTTTTTTGTCTTTTTTTCCGGTATCAGGAATCGAACTCACGACCTTGCGCTTGCCAGGCAAGCGCTTTGCCGCTGAGCTAAATCCCCAGCCCCTGCTGTGCAAAACTTTTTAGTTCAGTGTAGTTCCACTTGTCTGTTTCTGCTTTTCTTGCCTTTGCTTGTGGTGTCATATCCATGAAGTCATTGCCAAGACTAATGCCTTGAAGCTTTCCTTCTGTGATCTTACATTTAACTGTTTTGCTCAGTGTGAGTTTATTTTTGTTTGTGACAAAAGGTGCCATTTTATTTTATTGCATGTGAAATACAGTTTCCCCAGCAGCATTTGTTGAAAAGATTATCCTTTCTGTATAGTTTTAACACCTTTGTTGAAGATAAATTGCATAAGTATGGATTTATTGCTGGGTCACTATTTATCACTGTTCTGTATGTCTGTCTTTAGCCTAGTACCATACTGTTTAGTTAACTGTCACTTTGTAATACATTTTGAAATCTGAAAGTGTGGTTCTTCTAGTTTTGTTCCTTGTCAAGTTTGTTTGGCAATTCATGATTTTTTGTGGATCCACATGAATTTTAGAGTGTTTTTCTATTTTTGAAAAAAAAAATCATTAGGATTTTGGGAGGGATTGTATCAAATCTGTAGATCACAAATAAGTCTTTTTTAAAAAGATACAAATTACCCTATTTGTGTATGCTTTTCTGCATAACATAACATGTTCAGTGAATTACAGTTTTACCTCTCCTAGAGAAAAGAAATTTTGTTTTGATTTTTTTGAGACAGGGTCTCACTATGCAGTTCAGATTGGCCTGAACTCACTATGTAGCTCAGGCTGACCTGGAACTCACCGGCAATCCCCATATCCCCCCACCCCCACACCTCAGCCTCCTAAGTACTGGGATTACAGATGTATGTCACAATGCCCTGGCTAGAGAAATGTTTCATATGCATAAGAGATGGTTACAAATGTTGATTTGAGAATTATTTGTAGTAGCAAAAGCCTGGGAATGACCTGAGTGGGCATCATTTAAGGGAACTGGCCTGTAAACTATGGTATTCACATACAATAAAATGCTGTGCAGCTTTTAAAAGAAATGAGTTAAATCTATTTAATGATATCGTTGGATTTATAAGCATAAAATGAAGAAAGTCAAGTTGCAGAACAGTATATACAACATAGAATTAAAACCCTCAATACAGAACAACTGTAACAATGGGATTTAGAAGGTAAAAATCACTATTTAAATAGTCATAGTTTTAAGTTCTGCGATTTTACTAATATTGTGGTTACTGTTCAGGGTTCTCGGTGCTCTTCTGATGCCAGTATGCTTGGAGAGATGATGTTTGGCTCAGTAGCAATGAGCTACAAAGGATCCACCTTAAAAATTCATCAGATCCGGTAAGGGGTTTTCTGATGATTTTAAAAAGTGAATCTAATTTTAGATATTTAGTGTTTTTGAAGATGAGAGCTTTGAGATGATCTGCACTCAGATTGAGCATATCACTCACTTTATAATATTATATAGCGTCAGTGGACTTCGTGGCTTTGGGGCTGTACAGTGAAATCTGTGTAACTTACATGTTTTTATTTACAATAAATCACTAAGGTCATCCATTGAGTTTTGCTTATGTCTCTGACCATGTGTTTCTCTTCATAGTTCCCCTCCACAGCTCATGCTCAGCAAAGTCTTTACTGCACGGACAGGCAGCAGCATCTGTGGAAGCCTTAATACGTAAGTGCTTATGGCTGTTGAAGAAAATTGATTAAAATGTGCAGGGAATGAAAAACTTCTAAAGATGCTTTTTGAATTACAGCACAAATTCATGTTTTGTATCTTCTCCAAATCTGAACATTAGTGGAGGCTAGATTTCATTCTCACTTGAGTTTAGTTGGACAGCAGGAGGTGTGGTTTCTGTTTCTGTAATTTGCTAGAAAGAGTATCTAGAAGCAAAATGTTGAATGTATTTCTCTCTTTGGTTAACATGCTGATTTTCAGTTTTGCAATTTTGTACCAAGTTAGTACATGTGTCTGTAGCATTATGCTCTTCAGCTTTCTGATCTCCTGCAGACAGTGGTGACCTAGGTCATTCATATGGCTGTTATGTGTAGTCTACTGTATCATACATGCTAGTAGCCACAGTGGTATTATGAGCTGTTACTGCCAGTATCAGAATCGTGAGGCAGAAACAGTTAGGCATGGTAGTCAGGATATAATGGGACTTGTGCCAGAAACTAGTAAAGGAACTACAAGATTAGGTGGTGGTAGACACCAGAGACAGTTTTTGCAGGAGCCAATTCATAAGGGGGCTCACTGGCTAGCGCAAGTCCCAGGGGTAATAAATACAAAGTCAAAAGAAGCAGGAAGCAGCAAGAATCCTGCTCTGGATTCTCTTGAGCTTTTTTTTATTTGTTGCAAATGACTTTTAAAGACTTCTGGTTTGAGTAGTTTTATTAGTTACATTTCTAATACCTATAGTTCTTTTTTACTTTTAGGAAGAAAGGAAAAGGGAGATGTTCTTCATAATATTGTGAACACTTAAAATCTTGATGCCAAAAATGTTGATTTTTAAATTTAATACAGAAGCAGAAATTACATAGCAGTGATACTAGTTTTCTTTTTCTTTTTTGGTACTGGGAGATTGAGCCAGGGGACTGTACCTCTTAGTCATATCTACAGCCCTTTTTTTGGAGATAGAATCTCACTAAATTGTCCAGGCAGAGTTTGAACTTGCGGTCCTCCTGCCTCAGCCTCTCTGAGTTTTGGAATTAGAGCATGCCCTGATTCTTTTAGCTTTAACCATCTCAGTTACTTCATCCTTTCTAAATTCTAATTCCTAGAATTTACAGAAAGGATATTTTGAGCTAAAAATATAAAGTAATTTTGTTTCTAATATTCTAAAAGATTTATTAGCAGAGTATAGGCCATTTTAAATGTGTGCACTGAAGATAGTTTTGGTTATTCAGTTATTCCTGCTGCCCAGCCTCATGCTTTTTCTCCCCCTGCGCTCTCTTCCTCTTCTTCTCCCCCTCACCTCTCAGAAGTTAAATATTTTCAGGTCCAAAATCCAAGGGAAACCTGTTTTGTAGTATAAATCAGTCAGCAGCTTTCTTCTGTAAAGGGCCAGATGGTAAATGTTTTGGACTCCACTTGTGGTGAAGTTTCTCGGCCCTGCCAGCATAGCATTGAAGCAACCATAAACAATACATGAATGGATGGGTGTGACTGTGTTCCTGTAACATGTTTACCACAAGAGAGGGCAGACTGAATTTCTCCTCAGGCTTAGTTTACTAACTCTTGTTTGAATGATTAGTTATCATTTATAGTTTATATTTATGGTACTAATAGGGAAACAAAACTTAAAATGCTTTACATCTAAAATTCCTTGAAATGTAGAGTTGCATTAAAAGCATATAATTAATATAAATTTTTTTTCTGCTTTCCATAGACTGCAAGACAGTCTTGAATTCATCAACCAAGACAACAGTACATTAAAGGCTGATAATAACACAGTTATTAATGGACTACTTGGAAATATAGGTAAATGGTTCTCTTTATAAGTTTAAAAAATGTTAACAGTGTAATAGAGGTTTGAAGGTGTTTCTTAATCATGTAGATCTCTTTTAAATGGCCAGAGAATTTCAAATAAGTGGGAAATATATTTATATTATTTGGAAAACATTTTCTTAAGTTAGAACATTTATTTTGTATCTGAAAAAAAGAGCACTGCTGAAGATATATCTAATTTTTTAAAAACGTTTTAAATAAGATACATCTTTAAAAGGAGCTGTCATTGATGTGGAAAGCCCTTGCTTAGCACTCTGAAATATTCTAGTGGAAGAAGACTGATACTGCACCTTCTTTCTTCTTTCTTCCTTAACTGTAACAGTCATTTTAAAATGATGTTTGCTTTTGTGATCTGTAATTCATATGAGCAGATAATTCAAATTTGATGTTCCTTAAAAGATTTATTAGAATAATAACTTATTTAGTAATGTATTTAGCTAAATATTATTATCACTGTGTAAGTTAAGCATTTTAAAATGACAAACTATTTCTGAAATTTCTGTCATTTTCCCTAGAAAGCTCAACTAAGTTGCTGCTAACCATATTTCCAATGCATGAAGAAGTATAGTAGTTTAGGAAGTGGAAGCATTTAGGATAGTATGAATAATTCTCTCCTTGTTTAATAGGAAATTTTATTTATAATTGTAATAGATACACTCTTAATTATATTTATTAATAGAAAATTTTTCTTTTAACTTGAGCAGTGTAACATTTTGCTCAAATAAATTTTACTTTTTAATAATTCAAGTTTATTCAAACGAGCAGCTATTTATTAAGCACCTACTGTGGGTTTAATAATAATGTTAGGCATGTAATTTACAATGTATGTCTAATTATAGAGAAATAAGTTTTTCTTAATTCACTTGATTAATCACTTCATTGATTTTTTTATAAACTGAAAAATTTAACAAATTAACTAAATGTTTTTCTTTATAATTTGGCATTTTTTTTTAAACTGCAACAGACCTAACTAAAATCCTGGGCATTGAACCTAGGGCCTTATATTTTCACCAGGTTTTTTTAACAGGATTTTTCTAGGGGAAATGACTGTGAGAAAGAAAATGAGAGTGCTGGAGAGGCTAAGAGAGCCATAAATTCTGATGTGAATCTGACCCTGAGTGAAGGGGAGAGGGATAGAAATTTGTTGAGTGGAAAAGTCTTATACAGTCCAAGAAAGGAAGATTTGGCAAGGCTATTAGGAAGTCTTGAGTTAGATTCTGTTGTCAGATATATTCAATCTCCTAAGAAAATGGGCCTAGTATGCTCACTGTTTAGTCATTGGCTTAGAGCAGTGGTGGTGAACCTGTGGCACATATGTTGTTCTTCATTTAAGACAAAAGATGTTAATGTATGAGTTGTTTTTTCTAAACATACTAAATAGATAACATAAAACCTCAATATTCAAGTTTAATTGCAGTGTTGGCTCTTTGTGATAAATACATAGGCTTCGGTTTGCAGTTTGGGCGCTTGTCTCTAAAAGGTTTGCCATCACTGATTTAGATCAACCTACTGGCTATGTATCCTCGCAAAATGTGGATTTCAGACCACAACCACTGGGGTTCTTGGTCAGTTATACTTCTTGTAGTTAGAGATCTTTGAGGTGGGTACATTCTCAACACCATTACAGGAGGACTTTTTAAATATACATGATCAGGTATTATTTGTGTAAAAAAATAGTCTAATATCAGTGAGAAGAGATCCAGGTGAGTAAATGGATTGAAATGTGCCAAGAAAAAAAATGGAAAACCTCACAAACTCCCTTAAGGGGTTGTAAGGAGTCCCAGGCTTTGGACCACATTTGAGAACTGATAAATTGTAGGTTTTAGATAGGTGAGGGGAAAATGGACTGTGTTTACTGGTGAAAACGGATGTTACAAGGAAGATGAAGTGAAAATAATTAGTAGAGGGTGCTTTTTTTTTTTTTTTGGTTTTTATCTGGTACCGGGAACCGAACTCACGACCTTGCGCTTGCCAGGCAGGCGCTTTTGCCGCTGAGCTAAATCCCCAGCCCCGAGGGAGCTTTTTGAAGGAGGATGAGGACTTTGGGATCCTCGCCTATTTAGCTTTGGTAGATACGGAGGCACCTGTGTCAGGATTCTTTATCAAGTCTTTAGCACATCAAAAGATTTGAATAATGTGCAAAGATGGGTGAAAATTTGAGGACAGAATGGTAGGAAAAGGAGAGTTCCACTCTAGGAATTGTGTGTGTGTACATACACGTGCACATGCATATTGTAAAAAACAAGTCATACTGAAAATAAACATGAAGTACATGAGAAAAGAATTTAAAGGACTTAATAAGTTTTGGAAAAGCTTGGGCATGCTCTGAAGAATTGTAGAAAGAGCTGACCATTGAGACATGGAAGGATTGCTGCACACACACTATAATTATATACATTCTTGTTACAGAAAAAAAAACAGTATTTTAGGGATTTGAGAAATACAATTGTCACTAAAACAGAAAGCTAGTGTATCGTAGGTAAAACTCCTGGATAGCTATTTAGACTGTCTTGATTTAAACATAATAGGGAACCCAGTTGGTTGCCTCGAGGCTATAATGTCCCTTTTGGATCTTCAGACTGTTACGGTTTCTTCTTGGTCGTGTGTGGCAGTCACTTTTTGTGGACACTTGGGAATCTGATGAGCTACATTACTTCCATGGCTTCATAGCTTTGTATACTTAGTTTAGAAAAAGCAATTTTTGGCTTACCTGCCAGTAAGATCCCTTTCGTATTTGTTTTTTGTTCTTGTGCCAAGTACAGTGTGATGGTGTTGTCCTTACTACAAAGACAGGAAAATGTTGTGACCTTAAATAACTTTCCAAGAGAAATATAGTTGACAAATGCCATACTAGATAGATAACATTACTGTGCTTTTTTTGGAATCATTAAAAACATTGTTTTACACTAGAAAGGATTGAACATTTAAAATAATTTTTGCCTTGTATGGCAGAAGTGTAAATAGGCATAAAATTGTTGTTTACATTAACCATGACCAAAAAGGGGACCATCTTTTTTTCAAAAGGGAAAGCCAATTTGAATTATCCTTATTTAGGGTAAAGTCTCCATCCATATCTGTTGGTCTGCTCTCCTGCTGCCTTGCCTTGCCTTTTCCCTCCTGATGCATTATGGCTTCTCTAACAGCCTTCTTTCATGTGTATTTTACATTTTTACCATGTAGGTCTTTCACAGTTCTGCAGCCCCAGGCGGGCATTCTCTGAGCAGGGTCCGCTCCGCCTGATCAGGAGCGCCTCTTTCTTTGCAGGTTTGCAATGTGCTCTGTGGGTAGACTAGTTGTGTGCCCTAGCAGCTAGAATTTGTAGTTAAGCTGTGGAAACAAGAGGTAAATGGATACAATTGAGGAGTTTGTAGTTAAGAATCATTACTATGAAATATCAGAACTTCATTTCTTTTCACTGACTATATTCCTTAAGTTTCCACAAACTGAGTTACCAGAACATTTAAAAAAATTTCCATGTTTCTTTTGCCATTATGTCATAATGATTTTAACTTTAGAATGTTAAATCAAAATTTACTGTGACCATTATTTCTTATAATACCTGAGAGTTTTTAGTGTAACATTATCTTGTTTCCATGGCTCAGTAGCTTTTGTATCATAGTTCACCAATTGCAGAAAATATTATTATTGTAAAATTTCTGATCTACACTATTCCATAAAAATGATTTTTCTTGGAGCTAAGATTTAGATGAACAAGCACCATGAACACCACAGTGTTCTATTAAAGGCATATGTAATTGTTTATATTGTTAAATCATTATAGGATGTGTGTTCATGGTTCTGTGTCTAGGATGCTAATTCCATTCTATATTTTTGCAAATGTCACAACCTGTAAGCTAACACTGTAAGCTTCAGGTGTAAATTATCAGGACGTGTGGTGATATACTCATTATTTTTCTCAGGTTGGTTTCAGTTTAGGTTTTGTTTTAGTTTTTATTTTCCTGTAAATATTAGATGTGAACAATTTGTATTTATCATAAAAAATAAGGAAAATATGATAAAAAGGCAAAAAATATATTAACCACCTTGTCACCCAGGTATGCATACTTTTTCTGGTAGTGTTGGAGATTGAACCTCGGGATCTCCTGCTTGCTGGGCAAGCACTATACCACTGAGCTACACCCACTGTACCTCCAACTTCTACAAACAAAATTGGTATCACACTATTCAGAATCCTTCTCAAACTTTTTATTATGAATTTTTAAATATATTATGTTTGTATCTACATATTCAATACAGGCAGAATTAGTAGAGTGCATTGTGATAGACCCATCACTTAGAACCACCAAGATTCAGTTGCTTGCTTTTTTCACTTAATAGCATGTTGTAACTATCTTTCTTTGTTATTGAATATACTTTTAAATATGAATTTTAGTTAACCTGGGCTTCTTTAAATATTTTATCATAGGTCATTTTCATACTATATGTCAATCTTCAGATCTCAAAGCTTGTTCAACTGAATAATAGCTCTTGGTGTTGGGTTGGTGCCATGCTTGAAAAATAAAGGAATGCAATGTGATGAGCATGATTTAGTTTGCTAATTAAAAGGAGCAGCATTTACCTGAATAAGAATATATTTTGTAACTGACAGTTTTATATTAATTTATAGTTCACAGCAACCCAATGGACATGCCTGGAAGAGAATTGAATGAGGACAGAGACAGTGGCATAGCACGTTCTGGTAATTTCAGGTTCATGTATTAATCAAGTTTTTTATGAAATTGCTGCTAGCTAGTATTGATTTTCTTTTTACCCCTGCTTTTATCATCTGATTCTCTGTTCACACTACGTTCATCTTGATTCTTGCCTCATAAGAAGGTTGTGGAAAGAGTAGAGAGACATTCCTTGAAAGTTTTTTTGTGAGGAATGGGGAGACCCTTGCCTGTAATCCCAGCATTTGGGAGGCTGAGGCAGGAGGATCACTGCAAGTTGGAGGCCAGCCTGGAATACATAGCTAGGCCCTGTCTCAGTAAGCAGAACAAAATATAATTTAACATTTTTTCATATTTAGTGTTAAGTATGCCTAGCAGAGTACAGTGGTACCTTGGTTCGCAAGTTTAATTCTTTGCACTATTCTGGTCGCAAACCTAATTGGATGATCAATATATGAAAAAAAAATTGCTCAGGAGAATACTTAGAAATCCTAGCAGAAAAAAATACATTAGTTTATATTTGCCCGCTGCTAACTAGAGTTTAAATTTTCACACTTTTCTCTTGCCCAGCGGTCAGAGGATTGCAGCAGTGGTGAAGATCCCTAACCCAACACCTTAGGCAAAAAATCTTATGGAGTTCATAAAAGGGTTTTGGGGAGAGAATAATCAACCCCTACAAGTCAGAGGACTGCAGTAGAATAATTAGAGTATAATCTCCTGGAATGTGTTCGTTGCCTCAGAGTGATCCAGAGAGCCAACCTATGGGGTCTTTTTGGTTTTTTTACAGCTTAGGAGGTATGGTCAGTCATTCTTTTAAAAAGTGGTTGGCTTGACCTACATATGCATAAATCATAATTAAACATGTAATTGATCTCTTTAAATGCCGTTCAGGAACTTTATTTTCAAATACAGCTTTTGTTGAGAAAATCCATATGCTATATTGTGTGAATAGCATTGGATTTCCTTTAAGGAATAAAGTACCACAGCACTGTTAGGGTGCAGTGCGGTAGAAGAACCAACACCTGTTGGAAAGTAGCACTTCCTTCTGGGATAATACTTTTTTTTTTTTCCTTCCGGTATTGGGGATCGAACTCACAACCTTGCGCTTGCCAGACAGGTGCTGTGCCACTGAGCTAAACCCCCAGCCCCTGGTAATACATTATTAATATGTGACTTCTTCCTCAAAGACCTTGCTCTAAGAATTTTTCAAATGGAAATTTTAGAGAGGCTTATTAATCAAAATGAACAATTCAAGTCATACTACTATTAACATTTTTATAATGTTTAAGTTTTATTAGTACATGTTTGCAATTCTTGCAGTTTGCAGTTATCCTGGGAGCAATTACAAGTACATATTACATCTTGTTTAGTTAATCCCCTTTCACTTACAGAGTTCATAGAGGGGTTTTGGGGAAGGAGTAATCAATCCCTACAGTTAGGGGATTGCAGGAGTGTAATTAGAATAGAATCTACTGCATCCCCCTAATTCCCATCCCCATATTTGTTGATACTACATGTTTTAGCTCATGTTATGGCATATAATGTTTACATGAATTGGGTTATTAGGTTCCTGTACTCTTTAACATTTTTAAAAGATTTGTCATTATCCATAGTCATTATTGACTTATATATCATATTGTTGTTCTGACTTAACAGCATCTCTCAGCAGCTTGCTTATCACCCCGTTTCCATCCCCAAACTCTTCACTTACCCGAAGTTGTGCCAGCAGCTACCAGCGACGCTGGCGACGCAGCCAAACAACAAGTTTGGAAAACGGGGTGTTTCCTAGATGGTAAGTTGGATTTTGCACAAGATTAAATAATTCCTTAAACACAGTTTTGTGTGAGTTTTTCCATAGCCTGGGCTTGTATTTCCTATATTTTAAGCATAGAACTGAAAACTTTTGGGAGCTGGGGATTTAGCTCAGCGGCAAAAGCGCCTGCCTGGCAAGCACAAGGTCGTGAGTTCGGTTCCCGGTACCGGAGAAAAAAACCAAAAAACCAAAAAAAAAAAAAAAGAACTGAAAACTTAAAATTACATCACATTTTTTTATTATGGTGAGTTACTTGTTACTTGTTTAAAACAGTTGAGTGTTTTAATTATTTTTAGGTGTGCAGATCAGTGATACTAAGTACCTGCACACCATCATCACTAACACATGAACTTTTTCATCTCAAACTGAAACTGTACCCATTAAATAATAGCTCCCCATTCCTCCCTCTCCTCACCCTTATAAACTTGTGCCTTTTCTATAAATTTGACTTCTATAGGTACCTTCTATAAGTGGAATCATACAGGAGTTCTTTTGTGTCTGGCTTATGTCACTTAGGGTAATGTCTTCAAGGCTCATCCATGTTTTAACATGTGTCACAAGTTAATTCCTTTTTATGGTTAACTTAGGTTGTTTCCACCATTTAGCTGTTTGTCCATAATGCTGCTATGAATATGGGTATACAAATGGGTATACCTGTTTGAGTCCTTGCCTTCAATGCTTTTTGCATATGTACAAGAAGTAGAACTGCTGGACCATATCGTTTTCTGTAGTGTCTTCATTTTGCATTCCTACTGGCAACATACAGAGTTTTAATTTCTCAGTGACCTCACCAACATGTTTTATTTTCTGTGTGTGTGGGTTGGTTGGTTGGTTTTGTAGTGTTGGTGATTGAACCCCAACCCCCAGCCCGCCTTTTTAGGGCCATCCTGATAAATGTAAAGTGGATTCTCATTGTAGTTTTAGTTTGCATTTACCTGGTGATGGTAGTGGTATTGGGTCTTTTCAAGTGCTTATTGGTCATTTGTATACCATTTTGGGGGATGTATCTATTCGAGTCCTTTGACCATTTTTCAAATCAAGTTTGTTTTGTTGTTGATTTGTAAGTGATTTTTTTAAATGGATTTTAGATATTGATACCTTACCAAGTAATAGGATTTACAAATATTTTCTTCTTTTCTGTGGGTTGCCATTCATTCTGTTGATCGTATCCTTTAATGTACTAAAGTTTTTCATTTTTAGATAGTTCAGTTTACTTTTTAAAAAAATTTTGCCTGTACTTTTTGTGTTATATCCAAGAAACCTTTGCCAAATCCAATGTCGTGAAACTTTTATGCTGTTTTTCTTCTAAGAGCTTTATGTTTAGATCTTTGATTTTATACCACGTTTTGATATTCATATTTTTCATATTTCTATTTTGACATACTAATTTATCCTTGAAAGATTGTTTTTAGTGTATGTTAAATGCAGCTGTAGATTCCTTTTCTCTTCATTAAATATCTTTATTCCTTTATCTTTTAAGACAAGTAGATCCTAGAACAGTGAATAGATTATACCATACTCATCTGAAAACCTTAAAATATGAACATTTTTAACTTATGAATTGAAATTATGTACTTCTTTAACAACTTACAGTTAATGAAAATTGTTCATAATCTGACATAAGTAAAAACATTAGAAAAAAAATACTGAATAGATTCCACAAAGAGATACAATTGACAGTAAAATTTAGATGTATTTGATGAAACAGGAAAAGACCTTTAGCTTGCCTATATTTAATTAGAAAATAGATTGAATTGTGAATTTATTCACCTTTTTTTAATTAAAAAATTTATTTTCAAGGTCTATAGAAGAAAGCTTTAATCTGTCAGATGAAAGCTGTGGCCCTAACCCAGGAATTGTGAGAAAAAAGAAGATTGCAATTGGGGTAATCTTTTCATTATCCAAAGACGAAGATGAAAATAACAAATTTAATGAATTCTTTTTTTCACATTTTCCTCTCTTTGAAAGCCACATGAACAAACTAAAGAGTGCAATAGAACAGGTAAGCATAGTTATTCCTATCTTACACTTATTTTTATCTTTTCCTTTGAATTTTATTCTTCTGATTTAGCATTATGTTTATTCATTTGGCAGAAAAATTAACAGCCACCGTGCAGGTGCTTTACAGAATAGTCTGGGAGATAAATATAAATCAACCTTTTAAAAAGAGCAGGCTTGCTGTCTAACAAAAGATCTAAGGCTGTTCATTCAGAAACCAGGTTTTTGAGAATCTCTAATGTGTAACAGGACCAGTCTAGCAACTGAATAGATAAAAGCAGACTCCTAATCTCATGGGATAGCAAATAAACACAAGAACCTACATTATTTTAAAGGATTACTTGAAATACAAAATAGAACCCAAGGACAGGCATAGTTTTAGTTCAGAAGAAATAAAAACAGTTCCTTATTGGCAGAAGGTTTCATTTGCTTTATATCTTGAAGGATATGTATGATATTTTAAACATAAAGCTTTGAAAATTGGACATAGCACAATAGCAAGAAAAGGCAACTCATTACCATTTTGCTGAAAGTCTTACTCAGCCCCCTTCTTTGCATGTTGTACTTTTACTTGATAGGGATTGTTTTGCATTTTCAAATTTTGTGTCCATTTCAAAGAACTCAGCACTGTAGCATATACATGGAAAATGTGTATGTTACACATAAGTGGATCCTAATTTAAATTTTTGTTTTTGGTGCTGAGGATAGAACCCTGGGCCTCACAGGTGTTAGGTAAGCTGTATTACTGAGCTGCATCTGCCGTCCTGTTTATTGTGTTTTGAGAGAGGGTCTCACTAAATTTAGTTCAAGTCTGGCCTTGAACTATGATCCTTCTACCACAGCCTCCTTGAGTAACTAGGGTAACAGGTGTGCACACCACCATGCCTGGCTTATAAATCATTCTTAAATATATTTTATTGGGTTTTCTCAATTTAAGGAATAGTATTCTTATTAGGCCTTTACACATTTTCATAGTAATTGCTACTTTGTAGTTACCACCTTGGTGAATTTTCCAGATTATTTCTTAGAAGAGATTGCTCAAAGTCAAACTAAAGAATTAATGGTTGTGATCAAAGTTGTTAATCTCAGACAGAGGGTAGAAGGGAAAAGACATGAATAGGAAGAGTGAGTGGTACGACAGACACACTTAATGAGGACACAATTACAAAGTATCTCTTTGCCAAGAAATTTTAACTTCATTTTGAAGGCTTTTTTCCAGGGTATGCTTTTAGAAAATTAATTTGGCAGAAATATAAAGGAGACTAGAATAAAAAGTGGAAACCAGTTAGAATGACCCTAGCGTGCAGGGGATTCACCTCAGTGACTCAGTGCTAAGGGTCATTTGCCTCTGGAACAGGCACAGATGTTTATTCACGTTGAATCTATCAGAAAAAAAAGCAGCAAACAGATCATCAGCAATATTTTTTTACTGAATAAATGAATTAGAGAGCTGGGTGTGGTGGCACACACCTGAAATCCCAGTACTCAGGAGGCTGAGGCAGGAGGATCGTTGCAAGTTTGAGGCCAGCCTGGACTACAAAGTGAGCTCAAGGCCAACCTGAACTGCCTAGTGAGACCCTGTCTCAAAAAGGAAGGAAGGAAAGAAGGAAAGAAAGAGGGGAGGGAGGGAGGAAAGAAAAGAGAGAGAGAAGGAAGGAAAACAAGAAGGAGGGAAGGAAGGAAGGAAGGAAGGAAGGAAGGAAGGAAGGAAGGAAGGAAGGAAGGAAGGAAGCAAAAAGAGTGAGCCATTTGGATTTATCTTACGTGAGATTTCATAGTCCTTTATTAGTCACCATACACATTTTTCATGGCTGAAACATTTTGAGTTACTCGGAGAAATACTTAAAGCGTTGGGTTAAACTTGAGAGAGACTTCATAGAATTCATTAAAGATTACTTTTTAAGTGCTTTGACCTTTGTCTAATGTAGAGTAGGTTATTAATACCTACAGTTTTCTGAATATTTGTTTAATATCTCCTTTTTTATTAAAGCTGACAGATAAAAATGAATGCTTTTACATAAGTGAATGAAAGTTTTAAAAGTTCTTTGGTAGTTAATGATGGAATTGGAGAAACACTAGGCCATCCAAAGAAGTTACCTTCTGGGGTGGGGGCAGCTTTCCAACTACCACTCTCTTATATTTTAGTAAAAGCTGTGAATTTTTCTTTTGAGCACCTTGGCAATTATTTTAAAGTCTGTACCCCTTTTTTGGAGAGCTGTAACATAATTTTAAAATATTGCTAATAAAATTAAAGAGAACTATTCCTTAATTTCATGAAAAGAATATTCATTTATTTCTGAATGTTAATCTCTTAACAGTTTTATAAAACATAAATTTTCTTTTTATCTTCTGCTTGATCCTTGATAGTCTAGCCTCCTTTTAAATACGTTCTTTAAAGATTCTTAATCAGCTTATAACTGTATAAAGAATTTGTTTCAAAAAAGTAAAAAGATTGCAAAGTGGGGGTTTTTTTGGCCCACATATTGTATTCATGGTCTCCTTTTTATCCTCCCATTGTAAGGTTTTTCAGCTTGCACTAAATTTATTTTTAGATGTTTTGTTTTGTTTTGTTTTGTTTTGGGACAGTCTCCCTATGTAGTTCTGGCTGGCCTTGAACTCTGTGTAGCCTAGGCTGGTCTCGAACTTGTAGTATCCTCCTGCCTCAGTCTCCCAGTCCTGGGATGTGCCACAGTACCTGGCTTAAATACATTTGTAAAAGAAACAAATATGAGTAATAACTTGAGATATCTGTCAGCAGAATTTTTATATTGTAGTTTTTTTTTTTATGCTAGCAGAAGCTGTATCTATAAAATATAAGAGTAAATTTAGAAAAGGGGAGTTCTATTTAGAAAAGGGGAGTTTTTGGGAACCCAGAGACTGTTAACATCAGTGTTCACTGTCATTCTACAATTGACAATTATAATAAGAGATATAATACTTGAAAAATGAAAAATTCTTGGTATTCACTAATGTCCAAAGGTGTAGAAGGGAAAATCACTGTTAAATATGTGTGTCTTTCTATTTCCTTCTACATTAGATTGTTGGTGATGTTGTATGACATGTAGTTTTTGTTTCTTTCCATGCTTTGATCATGATTCATAAAACAATTAACTGTGTAATGATTGTTTTTAAGGCTATGAAAATGAGCCGGAGATCAGCTGATGCCAGTCAGAGGAGTTTGGCATATAATCGAATAGTTGATGCCCTAAATGAATTCAGGTACATATTCCCCAGTTTTCCATAGTACAAAGTTGTTTTGTGGTGTACACAGGAAGGAATTTTTCTTCAACTTGTTCTAATAAAATTTACTTCTTTAAATTTCTTGGTCCCATAGTCATGTGAGGGTCTAATATTCAGTAAGGCTCTGGCTCCTGTGCTGTTAAATCTCAAATGCAGTTGAGATTTGAGAACATTGGAGATCCATCAGAAGCATGGTTTTTAATAGTGGAATTTTTGTTTTTGACAAGCAAATATGGCCAAAAGATAACCGTTATTCCAGAAGTAGGCTGTGTTCCATCTTAGGCTCCTCGGTACAGAAACTAGTTAAGTGTTATTTAACCAGTAACAGCAGATGTTCGTGGATGCATGGAACATGGATATGATTAAGGAACATGAACTCCATGATCCTCATAGCTATATTGCTTGGTTCCTTCTTCTTATATGTCGCAGTGAGTACTCTTCCTTCTGCTAATGTTTTCTGGCTCAACACTGATCGTTCCGGAAGCCATAAGCATTGCAGGGCAACCCACTCGGGACCTCTCCTGTCTCCTGTCAGGAGCTGTCCTATTTCCCATTCTTTTTCTCCAATAAATTTTCCTATTCTTAAAAAAAAAAAAAAACTGCTGTAACTGCCCTCCAACTGTATGGCCAGTAGACATGCTACAGACGGACGTATGTTAGGAATCACATTAAATGCTCTGTGTCTCCTGTGAAGAGATTCATTTCAGGTCTACTTTAACCTCAGTTTTAACTTTCTTTAGATGAGAAATAGTACAGCACAGAAGAGAACAGAGAGGTTTGATTCTCTGTTCTAACCTTGGGTGTGCCATTTACTCTCCTTGGTGACCTTGGGCAAATCCATAGCATTTAGAACTCTAGTTTTCTAGTCTAAAGCATACAAATTTAACCAGGTGTCGTGGCACACACCTGTACTCCCAATACTCAAGGGGCTGATGCAAGAGGATTACTCAAGTTCTAGGTCGACCTGGGCTACATAGTGAGTTTAAGCCCAGCCTGAACTGCATAGTGAGAGCCTGTCTCAAAAAGCCAAAACAAAGCAACTCATTAAGATATGCAGATTTATCTTAGTAATAGTATAGTAGATTATTTTAAGGATTAAATGGGTTTAGCGGAATGCCTGACTTTAGTGGCAAACTGTTTTCTCTGGCAGGTACAGCCTATCGCATTTTTCTCCAGTTTTGGTCCTTCAGATCACACCCTCATGATTTTCTCAAATCTTGCCATTTGAATTTAATTTCTCTTTTTGAATTTCACACGAAACTTTTATTACTCTAAATAAGGATCAGTATTTTCTGTAGAAAGTTAATGATACAAATGAACTAATAAATCAGGTATGGTGGCACGTACCTGTAATCTCAGCACTTGCGGGGCTGAGACAGGAGGATCACCATGAGTTCAGGGTCAACTTGAGCTACATCGTGAGTTGAAGGCCAGCCTAACATAGCAAGACACTGTCTAAAAATACCAATAGTAATAATACCAACAACACTTACAAATGTAGCTTTATCACCTTAGGTTTATTATTAACAAAATTCTTTGTAAGTGAATTTTAGAAAAACTGACTTCATGTTTTTTCATTGACACCTATATTGTCCCTTTGAGATAGGGATCTTCTGAATTGGTTTATTAAATGGTCCATCATATTTTCAAGTGAGTGATTCCTTTAGCTTATGACTTTGTAGAATTGCTATGGGTGAAACTGCAGTCATGTCATATGTATGACTTTTTAAACCTGGAGGTGTGTGAGGAGGGGTGGATTTAAACTGAGAAAGTTTACTTTTATGGGTATTGTATAATAGTCACATTATTCAGTTGAGGAAGAGAAAATGTCTAGTCATTGTTTTATTTGCCGTCATTTGTAGCGTAGAAAACCTTTTCTGTATAGTAATTTCAGTGGTTAGGGAAAATGTAGAGAAATACATTATATAATTTAATACATTATATAATTTAATTTTAAACTGTATTGTTACTTTTTTGGTCTTGGAAGCAAATAATTTGTATAGGTAATACTCATAATTTGCATATAATTTCTGCAATGCATATCTGAAGTAGTTTAACACAATAATTTGAGGCCATTCTTATTATATGAAGCATGCTAACTGTGATACTTTAATTTTGTGCATATTGTGATGAAAACCATATAACATTAAATTTATCCTAATTGTTTTTGAGTGTACAGTAATATTAAGTGTATTCATATTGTTGTGAAATACATTTCTAGAACTTTCTCATCTTGGAAGACTGAAATTTTATATCTACTAAATAATAATTCATGAAAATAGCACTTTTTGTGTGTGTGTTTGTCTTTTTGAGACAGGGTCTCGCTCTGCAGTTCAGGCTAGCCTTGAGCTCACTTTGTAGCTCAGGCTGGTCTCGAACTCACAACGATCCTTGTACCTCAGCCTCCCAAGTGCTGGGATTACAGGCGTGCACCACCACACCCAGCCGAAAATAGTACTTTTAATCAGTGAAAATTATATCCAAAGTTATTCATAATTCCGTTTGTTCATATTCAAAGCTTGAAGAGTTCAGTTTAATACATCTTCCCTCCCCCCTCTCTCCCCACCTCTCTCCTGTTTTGATTAAACCTTGGGCCTTTGCACTGAGCTACATCTCCAGCCCTTTTTATTTTCCTTTACTTTGGAATAGGGTCTAATTCAATTTCAAAGGTTGGCTTTGAACTCATAATCATCCTGCCTCAGGCTCCTGAGGTAGCAATTAAAGGTGTGTGCTGTTGTACATAATTAAATAAAGGCATTCTGAAAGCTGGGGCTGGTGGTGCACACCTGTAACCCTAGCACTTGGGAAGCTGAGGCAGGATTTCAGGTTTGAGGTCAGCCTCTACATAGAGAGTTCAGGGGCAGTCTGAGCTATGTGGTAAGACTCTGCCCAAGCAAACAAGGAGTATTACACAGACACAAAGTAGGGGGTGAAAAGAGCCTTTCCAGAGGAAATTTAGAGCAGTTTTCATGAACTGACTGATACATAGTCTATTTTTATAATTTCTGAGCTTAATATAGACTTGTTTATGTTTCTGAAAGTGTTTATGTAAAAGCACAAAATTTTATGGTCTTACTAATATAAGATGATCTAAACAATTTTAATGTCAGTACTGTATATTTGCTTGAGATAAGAATTTTTAAGATATATTGATATAAATGTTAAGATGTGTTATGATTGAGAAAGTACATTATACTAAATTGCTTAAAATAATTTATAATGACTTAGGTGTACATTAGACAAATGTCCTGTTGATTTGCTATTTCTTTAAGTGTTCTATAAAGAAAAAGAAGGCCGGGCGTGGTGGCACATGCCTGTAATCCCAGCACTCGGAAGGCTGAGGCAGGAGGATTGTTGAAAGTTCAAGACCAGCCTGGGCTACAAAGTGAGCTTAAGGCCAGCCTGAACTGCACAGTGAGACCCTGTCTCAAAAAGACAAAAAAAAAAGAAAAGAAAAAGACAGCCACGTTAAGCTCAAAATAAATGTGCTCCTGTACTGTCAATATTGAATAAAATTTTGAGATTAAATCAATTACAGATTTTTAACAGTTCTACTCCATGTAGGTTCCCATGTACCCCTATGCACATGCCATTTACATAGCCAGAAAGTGGGACTTTATGTAACTCACCAAAAAAATTCCATAAAATTCATCCTCTAGCATGAATGTAAATAGTATTCAAAAAGTATGAGGTTATAATTTAGTCATTTTAAAATTTAATCTATATTTTGTTTAAAAACTTAACCAGATTCCTAATGATTTGCTTATGCTGAAGTAGATCGTATGCCACTAGTAACAGTAATATGCACTGAATGGCCAGTTGTTTTACTTACAGTTTTTATTTTTATGATTTTATTTGTTTAGCTGACTTTGCTATGGAATTATTATAAATATGTTATGAATAATTTTTTTTCTCTGAAACACTCCTAGAAGTTCCCTTTTAAAAAATTTTAACTGAATATAGAAATTACATATTTATGGGGTACCATGTAATGTTTTGCTACATGTATTCATTGTATAATGTCTAAAGGTAAACATCTGTCTTCTCAAACATTTATCGTTTCTTTATGATGAAAACATTCAAAATTCTTTCTTTAAAAATACGTATACAAGCTAGGCATGGTGGCACACGCCTATAATCTCAGCACTCAGGAGGCTGAGGCAGGAGGATCATTGCAAGTTCAAGACCAGCCTGGGCTACAAAGTCATCTCAAAGCCAGCCTGAGACCCTGTCTCAAAAAGACAAAAAAAAAAAAAAAGTATACAGACCTAGGTACAATACTGTACCCCTGTAGTCAGAGCTAGTGGGAGGCTGAGGCAGAAGGATTGCTTGAGCCCAGGGGGTCAAGGTCAACCTGGACAATAGAATGAGACCTCATCTCAAAAAAGCTAAAAATACCATTATCTATAATCATTGTACTGTGTAATAGGACAGGAAAACTTATTCTTCTTAACTATAATGTAACACCTGGTGACAGTTCCTCTCCCACCTACTTTCCCCAGGCACGGGTAATGACCACTTTCCTAATTTCTTTGAGCTCTTTTAGGTTCCACGTTATAAGTGAGATTATATGGTTATTTTTGTTACGGGCATATTTCATCTAGCATTCATGTTGTTGCATGTGACAGGATTTCGTTCTTTTTATGGCTGAAAAGTATTCCATTGTACCAGAAACATTCTCTTTTAACTCTTAGTTATTTTTTTATTTACCTCTGTATTGTTGAATAGGATGCTAAATGCTGCTACGTCTCTTTTTCTTTACTTTTATTAGTACTTGTGTGCAGTACATAATGATTACAGTCACTATAGGGAATTGGTACATGTACATAACACATTTCAGCTCCCCTCTCTTTCCCGCTCCTACCACCGCCTTCTTATTTTTACAGCAGCAGATTCAATTATTTATATTAAAGCCCATATAAAGTTAACTATCATATATGCCAATTAAAAACCAGACTAATAGGGCAAAGAACATATAAATGTATTTGACAATTATACTAAGTCAAGGTACGTTTTAGATACATTGTACTGGATTACAATACGTTTCTTTTCCCTTTTTTCCCTAATATTTGTCTTTTATTTTGTACTTTATATTGAATTTTTCATTTGAGAGAAAGCATGCAATATTTAAGCTTGAGTATCTGAGTTACTTCACTTAAAGCTATGGTCTCAAGGTGCACCCATTTTCCTACAGATGACTCAAGTTTATCCTTCATGGCAGAGTAGTACTCCATTGTGCATAAGGACGACTTTTTTTAATCCATTCATCTATTGATGGGCATTTAGGCTCTTTCCAATGTTTAGCTATAATGAATTGCACTACTGTAAAGATGGATATGCATATATCACTCTGGGATGGTGTCTTTAACTCTTTTGGGGAATACCCAGAAGAGGAATAGCTGGGTCAAAATGGAACCTCTGGTTTTAGTTTTTTTAGGAATCTCCATATGATTTCCATAGTGATGATACCAGTTTACAGTCCCATCAATAATGGAGAAGGGTTCCTTTCAGCCTCACCAGCATTCGTTATTGGTTGATTTCTTGATGACAGCCATTCTTCCTGGAGAGAGACTCTCAGTGTTGTTTTAATTTGTATTTCTTGACTGTCCAGCGATGTTGAATGTTTTTCATATATTTATTAGCTGTTAGTATTTCTTCATCTGCAAAGTATCTGTTCATTTCAGAAGCCTATTTTTAAATTGGGTCTTTAAATTTGGGGGAGTATCTAATTTTTTTCAGTTCTTTACATACTAGATATTAGTCCTTGTTCTGAGGAGTAGCTCGCAAATTTTTTTTTCCTATTCTGTAGGTTGTCTCTTTACTGTATTAGCTGTTTCTCTGTCTGTGCAGAAGCTCTTTAATTTGATGTGATCCCATTTGTTGATTTTTGGTATTACTTCTTTTGCAACCAGGATTTTGTTCAAAAAGGCTCTGCCTACACCTATGTCTTTAAAAGTTTCAGCTACTTTGTCTTCTAGCAGGTTGTTTCTGTTCTAATGTTTAGATCTTTGATCCATTTTGATTTTAGTTTAGTGCATAGTGATAGATATGAGTGTAAGTTCAACCTTAGGTATGTGGAAAGCCAGTTTTCCCAGCACCATTTGTGAAAGAGGTTGTCTTTCCTTCTTTGAAGGGATTTGCCCCCTTTGTCAAAAATAACATAGCTGAATGTGCCTGGAGTCATTTCTCTGTCTTCTGTTCTGTTCCATTGATCCATGAATCTGCTTAATACATTCTGTTTTTATCATGGTAGCGTCCAGGATTGTGACACCCCCTGCCTTGCCCTTCTTGCCCAGAATTACTTTTGCTATTCTGGGTCTCTTCTGGTTCTATACGAATTTTAGGATTGTTTTCTCGACCCATACTGTCTGTGTGTTTTGATTGGGGAATCGGGATCATTCACATAGAGAGTTATTATTCTGAGGTATTGACTTATTCCTGTCATTGTAATATTTTCCTGTTGATTTCCTCATTGTTCCCCTTTTACTTAGCTTCTTCCCCCCATCCCCCAGGTGTTTTCATTCTTTTTGATTCACTGACGTTGTTGGCTTCATTGTCTCTTCCTAGGGTATCCTTGAGAATTTTTTTGTAATGCTGGTTTGGTGGTCACGAATTTCTTTAGGTATACCTTGTGGAAATACCATATTTCTCCATCAGTTTTAAAGGAAAGTTTTGCTGGAAATGTAAGTTGGGTTGGAAGTCCTTCTAGGGCTTAAAACACTTCACTCCAAGCCCTCTTGGCCTTTAAGGTTTGTGTAGCAAATGTTCACAAGTTGGGGGTTTATTGTACAGAGATCTCTTTAGTTGCGTTTCAGTGATGTAGTTTGGGCATGACTAACAACCCCTTTGCCACAGCCCCAAGATTCATCTACCTTGGTTATTTTTGAAAGAGGATTCATTGCAAGCAGCCCAGAAAACAAATACTCTGCAAGTGTACTGTGGTATTCTTAATGTCACAAAGGCAACCTGAGTGTTGGCTTATAGAGAAATATTTGACAATTATATGACCATGTTAATACTAAGTGAAACAACTAAAGTAGCATTTCCTGAGACAAATTAGGTACTACTGTTACTATAGGAGCCAGTTATGTTCGACCCTTATTACTAGAGAAGAAACTGTCAATTGTGATATAAACACTAAGGCAACCCAGATACTGACTTACAGCTAACAGGTACTGAATCCAACAGCTATATGTCTGTTACTGGTAAAAAAGAATTCACTAGTAATTTTACAGAGTTATCTATCGAAAGATTAACAACACATTATGGTTCTACTACTAAAGGGTTAGGACTTGGAATGAGGGTATGCAAGAGGAAAGCTTTGAAACCTTGAAGTCTGTGATACAAGAAAGAGGAGAGAGAAGTGGTAAAAGGGCTCTTACTGGGGAATAGAAGAATGTGTATAGTACTAAGTCAAAATAGGATGAAAAACCGGCAAGAGATAGAAAATTTAAAAAAAGATTCAAAAATATTATATAAAGAGTAAAAGTAAGAGAGAAGTGCTTACGGGGAGAAAATTGAAAAGGAAAAAGCCAAAAAAAAATAAGAGAAAAGAGGAAAAAGAAATTAGAAGCATGGCTGAAGAACAAAGAGATTACCCAACCTTAGGAAACTAAAGAAAACGTAAAGGAAGGAAAGAAGAAAAGTACAAAACAAGAACAAAACAAATTTAAAAATTAAAAATAATGGTCACACTCAAAAACAAAAGCAATTTTTTAACAAATCAATGAAATGAACAAAAACAGGCAAGAGAAAGAATTCCTCTGTGATTTGAAGCCTTCCTGGGGTCTGCAGTTTTGTTGGTGGTGCCCAGTTGAAGGTGTGACCCTGCTCTTGCTTGGTAGACAGCGGAAGCAGTCAGAGCCCAGATTCAAACAAGCAAGCAATAAAATTATGGTGGGAAGCAGGTTGTGGGACTTCCAGATCCTTGGAAATTCAGGCTGAACCTGGCCTCCGGTCGTGCGGGTGGGGCCGAGTTACTCGATTTGGGGTACTCTGGGTGTCTCTTGCCAGCCTGACCTCAGCTCCCTAACCGTGGATGACCACCATGGTTGTCCCTCACCCAGTCGCTGTGGGAGTTTAACGCTGGGAGCGCTGAGATGAAGCCCACGCGAGGCTGTTCTGCGTCCCAGGTTCGGTTGGCCCCTCCACAGAATGCGTCCAGCCGAGCACTCTCCAGGGGAGATGGCGGGCGGTTGGGCTGGAGTCCCTCACCGGCTCTTGTAGTGCACAGCACCCGCTGCCCAGTGGCGCTGGTGTGTTTCTCCCTGAAGCGTCTGCGTCACCTGCTTTCGCGGTGTCTCTAGATTCGATCTTCCTCTCTCACAAGCCCCAAGTCAGGGGCCAGAGAGAAAATACAGATTGTTCCTTCCTTTCTCTGTGTTTTAGTCTGTCTCTTCAGTTTCTTTGTAGACTCCAGTTTTCTGCCACAGCCTTCTGAGTTCTAGGGATCTACATCCTTTCCTTCATTTTTCCCCCAAGTTGTTATTTTCCATTGTTTGGATTCAGAACCGTAGGCTGTTTTGTTGCTGTTTGCCATTCTGCCTTCTTCCCAGAAGTCTGTCTTAATTTATCAATTTTAGGTCATACTCATTTTCTACTGTGGTAGATGAATGTACCCCTTAGTTATTTATCTTTTTGGTATAGCTAATAGCACTGTCTTGTTCTTTAGCTCTGAAGTTTTCTACTTTCCTTGATAATTTATTTTCTTCTGTTCTTTGTCTCTGGAATGCTTTCTATTAAGACTTTGCAGGGAGGCAACCAGGAATTGAACTCAGGACCTCATACTTGCCAGGCAGGTGCTGCGCCACTGAGCTAAACCCTCAACCCTGGTTCTTTTTTTATTAGAAAGTAGCACTCCTGGCCAATGTATTCTCTCCACGGTGGCCTGCCCTCACACTGTAAGGTGTACTGTTTCTCCTGCTTTTACTTGGGCCAAACTTGCTCTGCAGAGCCTGTTTCTTTTCCTACCATTAGTAAAACTTGGCCCTCCCCCAAAAACCTAGCACTCCTGCATTGTAATGTTTTCCTTCTTTTTTATATGTATTATTTTCTTGTTCTATGTTTTATGATTTTTTTTTCTTTTAGTAACATTTATGCTTAGTTTTCAGATGATCTTTTTCTTTGAAAAATACCTTTTGTCATATCTTCCAGAATATACATTAGAATTTTATTTATAAGGTGTCTTCTGTTGTGTGCATTGTTTGTTTTCTCTGGAGTTGTAGAGAGCTAGGAAAGTACCATTATACTTACACAGTAATTTATTATGTTGAAAACTCAAAATGAATTTGAGAAAAACTGCAGAAAGTTGGAGAGAGTCATCAAATACAGCATACAGTCCTTATCCTATGGAACTTTACCTAAGAGCAACAAAATGACCCAGATAAATTATTGTTTTGAATGGGTAGATGGATAAACTGTTATCTATTAGGATATTTTCTCTTGTACATGTTGTTAATTATTTGTAGTATACTTAAATACAGTATGTGCTTTAGAATCTTAGAGCTGGAGGATCCTTAGAAATTTTCTAGTCCTCTTTTATCATCTGTCAGGTAGAAGAAACTGGTGCATAATTTAGGGAAATAATGTATTCTAGATCATACAGTCACTGGGTAGCAAAGATGACAATATCTTTGAAGTGCACGGACAAAACATTTCCCACGCTCCCACGCTGAAAGACTTGGCTTGTTGGCTTTTCTCAGTAACATTAAGTAAATGTAAGGCCCAAACTACCAACTTCAACTTTTTAACAGTTTATAGTTTGAGGAACCATAAATTACATACTGTGTCTTCCTCTTTTTAGAACAACAATTTGTAATCTTTACACAATGCCACGGATTGGAGAGCCTGTCTGGCTTACAATGATGTCTGGGACTCCAGAAAAGAATCAGCTCTGCCATCGTTTCATGAAGGAGTTTACTTTTCTAATGGAAAATGCTTCTAAAAATCAGTATGGCTTGCTTTATGTTTGTTTGTTTATTAGTCGCCACTGTATATCTAGATTGTGAGCAAATTCAATTATTGAACTGGGAATATTCTTTCACAGTAATAAAATAGTATTCTAAAAATGAATAATAGGGTATGGAAGAATGACACAGAACCTTATGAATGAAAAACAGTAAAAATGTCTTTACTTACATGTTGAATTAAAATTCTTGACATCTTAACACAGTTTGCTGAGGCTTCTTATTTTTTTGTGAATTTTATCCACTGTGATCATTTTATTTCATAGAAAATATGTAAAAAACATGTAAAGAAGTGCTAGAATTCCAATGATACATTTTAATGTGATATTTTATATTAGTTTCTTCCAGCTGTGCATCAAGTCTTTGAAATCTAGATGAGTAATTCATACGTTTTTATATTCTTTCATAGTAGTCAAAGTTTTCCTTTATTTTCCCCAGTAATGTAAGAAATGTAAAAACCTACTAGTTGTTTTATTAATGAACTGGATAGATTAAACATTGAAAAGAATCCCTTCTTTTTCAAGTAAAATGTTATTTTATTTTAACTGGACAAGGTGGCCCACGCCTTTAACCTCAGCACCATGAGAAGCTAAGACAGGGGGATCACCATTCTGAGTCCTGCTTTGGGACTCAACTGAGCATGCCCTTGTCTAAATATAAAAAATAAAAAGGGCTGGGAATGTAGCTCAGTACAAAGGTCTTAAGTTCAATCCCGTGTGCCACACAGAATTAAGCACTTTATTTGTAGTTATGATGTGAAATAGCTCCTTGTGAACATTTTCTTTATTTTAGGGATTTATTTTAATGACTCCTCCACAAGGAAAAAAAATCAACTTTCTTTTTCATCCTTGTATACCTGACCTTTCCCCTCTCCCCGTTTTATGTCATTTGGTCACATGAAAATATATACTGTCTGTACTTAACTGTGTCAAAACATTTTACATGGGGTTTTATAATGGTCAGTTGGAATCTCATAGGATGTCTTTGTTTTCAGATTCTTGCCAGCTCTCATTACTGCAGTTTTGACCAATCACCTTGCCTGGGTTCCAACAGTCATGCCAAATGGACAGCCACCTATAAAAATATTTTTAGAAAAACATTCCTCTCAGAGTGTGGACATGTTGGCAAAGACTCATCCATATAACCCACTTTGGGCACAACTGGGTATGTAGTCTATATATGTATTACACTTAGCCTTTTATGTACCTGTCTGGGATTATTGCAGAAATCTTCTTTTACCCCCTTTATTCTTGAGCATCTCTCCTGTGCTCATCCTTTCTTGTCTACTAAATTGTTCTGTCATCTTATGCCTGAAAGCAGTGCTAAGGACCAGAAAACCGCAGGTGGAGCAGGAGTCAGGGACTGAGAGCTGGTTTGCTAGTAACTTCACAGGGGTTTTTGTTTTCATTTTTTATGTGCTTTGCCCAAACAGAATCAAGCGACAGTCACCTGTGATTGCTGTAATAAATCCAAGACAAAAGCAGTTGAGATTTTTTTGTTCAAAAAGTCATTTGGAAAATGTTTATTGTTTAGTACTAGGCACCACTAAATACATGGATAACAGAGGAGAAAGCTGAAAAATTGTGGGCATTAGGAGGCATAGTGCTTAAAAGCACAGGCTGTGAAATGATACACACTACATTTGAGTCATGTGGGGGGTGGGGGGGGTTGGGAACAAGTTCTCCAGGTGCCCTTGAACTTGCTTTGTGTCCCAAGCTGGCCTTAAACTAGAGATCCTCATTCCTCAGCCTTCTGAGTAGTTTCCTTACTTGTAAAATGGGGCCAAATAATAGGTAGTCCATGCTTTTAAGAGATATGAAAATTAAGTGAGACGGTACACGTAAGGTGCTTAGAACAGCATATGATAAGACAAGAACATTTTGGTGACCTGATAGAAACTTGGCATAGTTTGCTGTAGTGATCATGTGTGCCAGGTTGCTTTGTAATACAACTTATGAACTCCTATAACCAACCAACTTCCCTTCCTTCCTGCGTTCGTTCAATGTAGTTAAGAATCACCTATGTTGTATGTATTAATAGTTCATTTTTTTTAATGCTGAGTAGTATTTTTGCATGGAATATTAATTCAACTTTTTAAGTAGAATAATTTGTAGTTTTTAATTGGGATATCAAATCTATTTTCAGTTCTACAGTCTTTTATTTTTGAGTGCATAATGTATCCACAGTTCTGTGGAAAGAGTACTGATGGATGTAAACATGAATACTTTGGTCCTTGCCCTCAAGAAGTTGGCAGTCTATGCTGGGTATGGTGGCACATGTCTGTAATCCCAGGACTCAGGAGATTTGCTGTGCATTTGAGGCAGCCTGGACATAGTGAGCCCAAGGCCAGCTTGAACTACATAGTAAGGCTCAAAAAACAAACAGACAACAGGTTGACAGTTTATTGCTGTAGGTAGTGTATATCTAGACTATAGGGATAATTCAGGGAGGAAATACAAGAGAAATGAAAAATTCAGTGGGAGTTCAATAAGGAGAACTTATTTTTGTATAAGTGATCATACTTGGCTGAGAATATTTGGACTAGCAGAGACAAGGGAGAGGGAGAGTACGTTCCATGAGTAAAAGGAGTACCGATGTTGAGCACAAAGCATAGTGGGTCATGGTGGTGCACGCCTACTACACCTGTTTACTCAGGAGGCCGAGCAGGAGGTTCATAAAGTTCCAGGCCTGATGAGAGAATTTAGGGAGACCCTGTCTCAAACTAATATGTAAAAAGGGCTGGTGTCTGGATGTGATGGCTCATGCCTATAATCCAAGCACTCTCGGAGGCTACAGTAGAAAGAAAGTTTTGAGACCAATCTGGGCAATTTAGCAACTTACTGAGACCCTGTGTCAAAAAATAAAGGGCTGGGGTTATAACCCAGTGTGAAAGCCCTGGATTCATTGTGCAGTACTGCCCAAAACCAAGCATACTGGGGTATAGCCAAGTGGGACAGCTTGAGTAGCATGCGTATGGCCCTGCGTTTAATCCCAGGTACTCTCCCCACCAAGAAAAGCTTATTTCAGTGGTACAGTTTAAGTGGGGCTTTGCTTGAAGTAAAGGTGAAAAAAAGTAACTATAAGAAGATAAAATTGGAAGGGTAAAGTGGGATCAGTCATGAAGGATTCCCTTGCCATTTTAAAGCAGTTTTAATTTATTTGGTAATTAGAATTTTGGGATTGAGGCTGGGGATTTAGCTAAGCGGCACAGCGCCTGCCTGGCAAGCGCAAGGTTGTGAGTTTGATTTCCAGTACCGGAAAAAAAAAAAAGATAGAATTTTGGGATTGAGGCTGGGGATTTAGCTAAGCGGCACAGCGCCTGCCTGGCAAGCGCAAGGTTGTGAGTTTGATTTCCAGTACCAGAAAAAAAAAAAGATAGAATTTTGGGATTGTTTTGGAACAGTAGCATTGTGATATTTGAGCCAATGTCTTAATTGGAAGAAAAAAATTACCATAATACTGTCTACAGTATATATTTATTTTGACCTATTTATGTTTATTTCTTTACAAAGTATAGGGTTTTATAAAGTAAAAATAGGGATTTTTAAATATGTATACTGACAGCTAGCAAAAATCGATCTGAATTTATATTAATGCTTTTGTACTCTCCAACTCCATCTCCAACTTGTACTTTTCAACTTCTTGTTTCATGCTCAAATTATGGGTTCAATCTGAGCTATAGCATAAGTAGTGAGTGCTGCAGCTCCTCCAGCTGTGCTCCTGGCCTCCATTGCTCCCTTCGTCTTGTTGCGGAGCAGCAAACATTGTGTCTTCTCTTTTCTGTGTTAGACATAGCTTCAGAAACCTCATGTATTTAGTATTTCTGGCAGTACCCCTCTACCCAGAAAAAGATGCTGTGCATGGCACCTGGCACAGAAAATATCCCTGGTAAATGTAATCTCTAAAACCTCTCTAGATTCAGAACAACAGAAACTCTTTAAGGAAGAAGATAGAAAATCATCGTTCCCCTGGGTTTCTCATAATGGAAAATAGCCTGCCTAGCTGTGTAAGTAAAAGCTGTGTCCATTAACTGCTTCTTTCATTGCAGGAGATTTGTATGGCGCTATTGGCTCTCCTGTACGGTTAGCAAGAACTGTAGTGGTCGGCAAACGACAAGAGATGGTCCAGAGGTTGCTTTATTTCCTTACTTATTTCATAAGATGCTCCGAACTTCAAGAAACTCATCTTTTAGAAAATGGAGAAGATGAAGCCATTGTTATGCCAGGCACAGTGATTACAACCACTTTAGAGAAAGGTGAAATTGAGGAATCAGAGTATGTCCTTATCACAATGCATAGAAACAAAAGTAGTTTGCTCTTTAAAGAGTCTGAAGAGACAAAAACTCCTCATTGTAACTGTAAATACTGCAGTCATCCACTCCTTGGGCAGAATACAGAGAATATGTCCCAACAAGAGAAAGAAGCTATTCAAAACAATTCTAAAGAGTCGCTAGGAATTTCAGATGAATGCCGAGTGATTTCTCCTTCTGACTGCCAAGAAGAAAATGCTGTTGATGTTAAACAGTGTAAATTAAGAACTTGTCTTGACACCAAGTTAGAGACTGTTGTTTGCACAGGATCTGCTCCAGTAGACAAACATATATTGTCAGAGACAGGCTCCGAGCCAGCAGAGGAAACATGGCAGGGTACGGAATTGCTGGATTCAGATAACCACACAGGCAAAGCAGTGAGAGCCACAGGAGTAGTTGTGGAAAAAAAACCTCCAGATAAGACTGTGTCTGATGCACTCTCTTGTGATGTAACCCAGACAAAGGTTACTTTCCTGATTGGAGATTCTATGTCACCTGATTCAGATACTGAACTCAGGAGTCAGGCAGTGGTGGATCAGATAATCAAGCATCACACCAAGCCATTGAAAGAGGACAGAGGGGCTATTGATAAGCATCAAGAACCTAAACATACAACTGAGGACCAATCTGGAGAGTCTGATAGACAGAACACAGTTTCGGGAGAGCCCAGAGAACTTCCCTGTTGGAGTCATTCAGACCCAGAGAGCATAAGCTTATTTGATGAGTATTTTAATGATGATTCAATTGAAACAAGGACTATTGATGATGTTCCAATTAAAATAAGTACAGACAGTAAAGAACACTGCTGTATGTTAGAGTTTTCAAAAAGATTGTATATAAAAAGTAACAAACAGAACAGTGAACTTTGTAAATGTATAGAAACTGTTCACCAAGATTCATGCAAAAACTGCTTTCCTCAGCAAGACCAAAGAGATACATACTCCATTCTTGTCCCCCATGGGGACAAAGAGAGTGCAGAGAAAAAAATTGCTGTAGGAACTGAATGGGACATTCCAAGAAATGAAAGTTCAGATAGTGCCCTTGGGGATAGTGAAAGTGAAGATACAGGTCACGATATGACCAGACAAGTCAGCAGTTACTATGGAGGAGAGCAAGAAGATTGGGCAGAAGAGGATGAGATACCTTTCCCTGGGTAAGTAGAAAGTTCTCACGTGATAGGCCCTGTCTACATGTCTGCCATTGTTTAGCTTCTCTCTGAAGATTGGTAGTAGCCCCTGATATTAAAAAAGAGATTACTGTCCTGACAAAACTATCTCTATTATTATATGTTCTTAGTAATAGGAAGAAATAAAGTCAAAGCCCAAGAATCACCCAGGAAGCCTTTGGAAAGTCATCAAAGGAAAGTTAAAGGATCTTGTTGACATGTAGGATATTGTGTACTACTTGAGTTTTTAAGGCATTTTGGAGTGAATTGTGCTTCCAAAATGGACCTGTGGCAAACCTGACAGTTAGGAAGAGGTAATCACTGAGAGGGTAGGAAGTAGCTGTGACAGATGACCAAGGCTAAGTAAGATGAAAACAAGGAGGGCTGGGGATATGGCTCAGCTGCATAGTGCCTTCCTGGCAAGTGTGAGATCCTGAGTTTGATTCCTGGTATAAAAAAGAAAGAAAGAAGGAAAAAAGAAAACAGGAGGCTCTGGGTGTGGTAGTGCACATCTGTAGTCTCAGCACATGGGAGGCAGAAGGATCCCTGTGAGTTTGAAGCCAGCCTGGGCTATGTAGTGAGTTCAGAGCTAGCCTCAACTACATAGTGAGACCCTGTCTCAAAAAAAAAGAAGAAAAACAAGGAATATGTACTCCATGTCAAGTATATAGTGTGGTCAAAATACACACTTACTTCTTTTTTTAAAAAGACATACTGCCATAAATCCCCTTCAGGATCCTTCTCCTCATTTCAAACACACTTATCTCATTATCCTTGAACTTTGTGAAGCAGTTGTGGAAGTTCTTTTGGGAGTGTCTTTTGAAGCGTGAGAAAAATAGTGAATGCTGCTGCCGAGTACCATCCAGTAGAAGGGCAGGCTCCTAAAGACATGATAGTGCATCCTCATCCACCTTGTTCACCAGCTCTGGCACCATGCAACTTCTGGCTCTTCCCCAAGGTCAAAATAGTCATGAAAGGTAAATGGTTTGAATTGGTTGAGGACTTCGAGGCAGTCATGACAGCACAACTAAAGACGTTTACAAAAGAGGACTTCCAGAATGGCTTTAGAGAGTGTCAAGAATAATGGGATGTGTTTGAAATGAGGGAGACTGTTTTGAGGGGCATTAATGACAATTTGGCCAGGCGTGGTGGCGCACGCCTGTAACCCCAGCACTCAGGAGGCTGAGGCAGGAGGATTGTTGCAAGTTCAAGGCCAGTCTGGGCTACAAAGTGAGCTCAAGGCTACCTCAAACTGTATAGCGAGACCCTGTCTCAAAAAAACAAACAAAAAGACAATTTGTCTTTTACTGTAATCATTTTTCAAAAATTTAGACCATGTTTTTTGATCACAGCTTGTACAGGGAGAAAAATCTATGGTTGACAAATGTTATATACCAAGATTTATTTTAGACTTGTGACAGTTTTAGGAATTTGTCATGGATGATGATTTTTCATAATCACATTGTATTGGAGGTGTGTTACAAACACAAGGGACAACTCCCCTAAAGTTTTTTAAGAAAGATACGTGCTCACTTCATTATAAAGTTGTTTATTAAGCTTTTTTGTCCAGCCAAAAGGTGGTCTGTTTGAGCACTTGAGCCAGTTTCTATTTAAGGATGATTTTACTATATTGTGTAGAAAATAGTAATGGAACTATGAATACAGATGAGTGCAATTCAGAAAGTTTTTTAACTGGTAAAATATGTTTATTACTAGTTAGATTAGCCTTTCTTGGGAATCTTTCTTCCAGGTCAAAGTTAATTGAAGTGAGTGCTGTTCAGCCCAACATTGCCAACTTTGGGAGGTCCTTGCTGGGTGGCTACTGCTCATCTTATGTCCCTGACTTTGTTCTTCAAGGAATTGGGAGTGATGAGAGACTCCGTCAGTGTCTGGTGTCAGATTTGTCTCATGCTGTACAGGTGAGTGACTGTCACTGTTCTCGAATTTATTCAGAATGAAGTCTGTGAACCAGCAGAACCTTTACTCACACATGACTATGTAGCAGAACCATTGTTCTCTGAATCCATCCTTTTATGTGTAGCATCTGTATGTTTGTCCCTATCACTGAATGCAAGTGTGGAGCTCTAGGAATCTATCAAAATAAAAATCTGAAATAGAGAAAGTACTATATATATTCATACTAAGTTCACTGAATAGATGATTTATAATATCAAAAAACTGGAAGTGTTTAATTGTGAATGTGATTATTTTCTTAATTTTCTTTTCAGATTTATTGCTTTTATATATAAAAGTATACTTATTTTTTTTTTAATACTACTCTTGTATCCTTTGACTTTTGTGAACTCTTACTAGTTCTGTTAGTTTATTGTATAGAATTATTATGGTTCTCTACATAAGCACATGTCATCAGTGAACAGTTTTTATATATTTCTTTATATCTTTGTGCCTTTGTCTCTACCCCTTTCCTTTCTTTTGTTTCTTTATTTTTCTATTGGGTTTTGTTTTGGGGAGGGTTTTGGTGTTTGTTTGTTTGTGGTTTTTTTGGTTTTGGTTTTGGTTTTGATCTGATTATACTGACTAGAAGCTTCAGTACAATGTAGCTTGGAAATGGTGGCAGTACATAACATTGTGTTGTTCCTAGTCTTAAAGAAAAACATTGAGCGGTTCATTATTAATTATATTATTTGTAGGGTTCTTATAGGCACCTGTAATGGTTGATGCATTGTGTCAACTTGAGAAGTTTAGCGTGTAACTCAGCAGGGGGCCAGGGTCCTTACTTTGTAAACATCCTGAGCTTGTGTAAGAGGAGGGTAAGGAGATGGCTTGGGGGGATAGCTGGTATACAATAAAAGGGAGGAAAAGAGGCTTATTTTTTTTGCTCTTGTTGCTTTTACTGTCTTTTGCTGCCTTGAACTGTTGCCCCTGTGCCATGTCACCTGCCTTGGAGCCACCTGGGTTTGGACTGAAACCTCCACAAACTGTGAGCTAAATAAAGCTTTCCTTCCTTAATTCTGGGCATCAAGTATTTTGTCTCTGCAAGGAGAGAAAAGTAACCAAGATAGTACCCTTACTAGATAGAGGAAGTTCACTTCTATTTATAGTCTTTGAGGTTGTTTTGCTTTTGCTTTTTCCTCACCATTTGAACCATGAATAAGTGCGGGATTTTTTCAAGTGCTTTTTCTTTTTGTTTGGTGAGGTGATCTTATGTTAAGGTTATGGATCATGTTGATTGATTTTTAGAAGGTAAACCTTTGTTTTCCTAGGGAGAAGTTGCAATTGATGATGATCTATAATTATTTTTATATACAGTATTTTTGTGTGTGAGTACTGAGTATTGCTTCACCCCGAACCACATCTCTGACCTCACTTGTTTATGTTTTAAGACAGTCTTGTTCAGTTGTGTAGGCTGGGCTTAAGCTTGATATCCTCCTGCCTCAGCCTTCCAGAATGTTAGGCTCAAGCATACACTGCCATGCCTAGCTTCACTTACACTAGTTTACTCTTGATGCTGGAATCTGTATTTATGAGGGTATTTATTTGTAGCTGTCTTGTAACGTTTTTGTCTAGCTTTGACATTAGTATGATTACTACTGGCCTCACGGAATGACTTGAGAACTATTCCCTCCTCCTCAATTTTATGAAATTTTTCTTAGAGAATTGTCAACTATTTTTCTCTTCGATAGAATTCACCAGTGAAGCCATTGGGACCTAGGCTTTTTAAAATGAAGATCTCTTAAAGTTAGAGATGTAATTGGTGAAGTGGTCCATGTGGTAGATTACGTGCATAGCATATGCTAGCCATGGATTCAATATTGAACTACCCTCACCCCCAGCAGGATATTTTAAACTTAAAATTCAGCTGCTTTATTTGGTATTTGTCCATTTCCATTTTTTATTTCTTCTTGAGGTGGTTAGTTTATATAGTGCTCGGGATCAAACCCAGGGCTTCATGCTTGCTAGACAGACACTGCTACCACTGAGCTATATCTCAACCCAATTTTGGTAATTTTTTTCATTTTGAGAACTTTCCCTGATACTTAATTTTGGTGGTCAAATTTATTAGGATAAAGTTGCACATAGTATGCATTTATAATCCTTTGAATTTCTGCAAGGTTACTGGTAATGCCTCTTGTGTTGTGACTTTTGTTTTGTTATCGGTATCTTTTTTGTTACTTCTCTAGAGGGTTGGGGCTTCTCCAAAGAGAGATGTTCGTTTATGGATTGGTTTAGATTATAGATTTTTTTTTTTAGCATATGTAAGTCATTACTTATTAACCAAATGGGTCTGCGTTTTATAAATAAAGTTTTATTGGGACACAACCACAGCCATTTATTTACATAATTTATGGGGTACTTTTCATGCTTAACAGCAGAGTTGAACCACTGAGACATGCTTTTTAGTCCTCAACCTAAAATATTTTCTGTTTAGCTCTTTAGAGAAATTTTTTGTTGGTTCCCATTCTAGTTAAAGGTTTGTCAATTTTGCAGAATGGGTAAAAGTTTTTTGAAGAAATTATTTTCATTGATCTTTCTATTTCATTGATTTCCACTGTAATTCTTTATTATTTTTTCCCTTCCACTAGCTTTGGGCTTAATTTATTCCTTTTCTAGTGTCTTAAGGTAGAATCATGTTAGTGAAAGTTCTTCTTTGTTAATATAAGTATTGAAAGCTGTAAATTTTTCTCTCAGAAATGCTTTAATTGAAGGTATAAATTTTGATCTGTTGTGTTTTCATTGTCATTCACGTCAAAATTTTTTTAAATTTATCTGTTAATTTTTTTCCCCATGGGTTATTTAGAAGCATTCTGTTGAATTTGTAAATATGTGTAAACTTCTCAAATTTCCTTTTGAGGTTATTTCTAATTTAGTCCCATTATGGTCAGATTACATACTTTGTATGATTTTAGCCCTTTTTAATTTATTCAGACTTGTTGATTACCCAGCATATGGTCTTTCCTGGAGAATGTTCCATGTGCACTTGAAAAGAATACATCTGCTTCTGTTGTTGGTTGAGGTATTTTATAGATATGTCAGGCCAAGTTGATGGATAGCCTTATCTCAAGTCTTTAATGTCTTTGCTGATTGTTTTGTTTAGTTCAGTTAGTTTCGAACTATGTCTTCCTTTCAATTTTTTTTTTTTTTTTTGTCTTTTTGAGACAGGGTCTTGCTGTGCAGTTCAGGCTGAACTTGAGCTCACGTTGTAGCCCAGGCTGGCCTTGAACTCGCAACGATCCTCCTGTCTCAGCCTCCCAAGTGCGGGGATTACAGGCATGCGCCAACACACGGGTCTTCTTCCCTTCAATTGCATATGTAAATTTGTTTTTAAATAACAGATCTCCCCACCTAGAGAAAACTAGTTAGGAAATCATGGGTGAGAAATTGTGGCTCCGGTAAGAAGTCAGTCATTTACTTGTTACCAAAAAAAGGTTAAACCTTCTGTGTCTGCACAGAATAATATAAAATTGCAAATTTTGGTGTCTTATGTAGTAGAGAAAGTATGGCAAGTCTAGATAACATTAAAGTTTATAAAGAAACGTTATGAATATTTGTTTGTATTTAAAAGCTGTTTTGCTCAACCTTTTAACACCAATCAGATAAATATTTACTCATCTTTTTATTGTTGTTGTTTTAAGAGAGGGTCTCACTGTCGTGCAGGCTGGCCTTGAACTCCCAGCGATCCTCTTGCCTCAGCCTCCCAAGTGCTGGAGTTACAGGCATGCACCACCACACCTGGCTTGATCTATTATGTTCTGAACATAGTGCCGGTACTATAAGGGGTGTATAGATGAAAATGAATTTTTTCTACATTTTTTACTTAATAATGGACTCAACAGGCCAAGTATAAATGTGCAAAATAGTACTTCAGAGGGTAGAATTTACATGTACTGTATATTGTTGGTAATATTTGTCCTTTAGGAAAAGGAGCATCTTTGTTATTTTACGGTGCTATGCCCAGTACCTGCCATAGTGCTCAATATTTGTTGAATTTACCTGGTTACATAATCAAGAGTCCTTCTACTACACTCTGTGTCATCTTGGCCTTTTTTTTTTTATGGTGGTATGGGGATTGAACCCAGGGCCTTCACACTGAGCTGTATTCCCAAACCTTATTTCATTTCATTTTATTTCATTTCACTTTAAGCCAGTCTCATCTTTCTGTCAACCTCAGTTGTTCATTATCTTTTCTTCCTCCATCGTACCCATCACTACACATTATCTTTTGGTATTTTCTCAGATGGTCTAATATTGGAAAAGGCTGCTGAAGACAAAGACAACTTTCTGCTTTTAAAAAGGTTTCTACCTGCTAATTCTTAAAGCAGGAGTAGTAACAATGATGATAGTAATAGCATTTATTATTTTTGTGGCCATTCTGTGCATTAGGCACTTAAAAATTCACTGTCTTAATCTAATAGTCATCCTTTGAGTTGCTTATTATTATCCCTGTATCATCCTTATATATATGGAGACTATATTCATTTAAATTACATAAATGGGGAATGGAAAAACTAGAATTTAGTGCTCATCTGTCTGTTTTTAAGCTATGCTCTTGGGTTACCAAGCCATTCTGTCTCTGAGACAGTTAAGCAATGATTAATACAAACAGCAATACTAATATTACAGGGTTCACAGGACTTAAGTTATTGGTCTCAGGCTTGTTATTCTTAGTTTCTTTCCATGACGGTAAAAAAGAAAAGCTATTTGTCTTCTGTTTTAGGAACTGGGATTTTAGTCCTTTCCTCTCATATTTTAATTTAATCATATAGAGGTATTTATTATCAAAGCAGTATTATAGAAAGTTTTGGACAAACTAAAAATTGTCCAATTTCAGCACTCATAGGTTGTAAGATACTTTTCATGGTTTTAGTCACTACATACTTGAATTTTATCATCATTACATTTAACATGAGAATTATTTTTTGTGTCTTCATGAACAAATATGTAGGAAACTTTTAATGCATAAAAAACAAATATGCTTCTTTTAAAAAATATACAGTCCACTAAGCATAACGGCTCATGCCTGTAATCCCAGCTACTCAGAAAACTAAGGGGGCAGGTCCTCAAGTTTGAGGCCAGGGCAATATAGTGAAAAAACCTGTCTCGAAATGAAAATAAAACCATTTGGTAGTGTTCGTCTGTGGTAGAGTACTCCGGGGAGAGTATCATTTCCTTTCTCCCCAATTTCTAAGGAAGCAGCATTTTTAAAACTACCAAAGCATGATGGACATACGGTGTGTGCCTGTAATCCCAGCACTTGGGAAGCTGAGGCAGGATCGCCATGAGTTCAGGGTCAGCCTATGGTTAGTCCGATGTTGACCTTATGAGGAACTTTTATTTTGGTTTTTTTCCGCTGGTTTTTTTTCTTTTTCT